GAATTTTTTGTGGTTGAATTATTTGCGGTTGAATTTTTTGCAGTTGAATATTTTAACGTTGAAAAACATTCAGATACATGATTTCGATGCATAAATATTCAGTGCTAGAAATTCACCTTTTTCTTTCAAAATCCGATGACACCGATTTACTTCCATAGTTGTGCCAGTTTTTACTGAAAGTGACTTTAAAGTGAGGCCGTGACAGTAATGCCTTCAACTTAAGGATGTAGGCTACATATATTTCGGGATGTGACGCATCCCTGAGAACAATGACTTTCAAGAATTATATTCAGCTATATTCAGAAATATAGCTTTTGGGAAAAATGTGGTCTTGTGGCACAACTTGCCCCTGCTGCGGGGTAAGTTGTGCAAATGGGGGGAAAACGTTTTAAAAACTAGCATGATTTAGCAGTTAAGAGCTAACTCATTGCCTGCTAAAGCACTAAAACATTTGTGAAATGTTTTCAAACTTGTTTAGACACTACAATAAAAAAATCTTAATCATAGAAATATTACTTTTAAAGGAAAAAAACAGTTTTTTGAGCAAAGATGTGTTTAGCTCTCATGCCATGTATCTCTCGTCTTTGGAGGATAAGTAAAATAGATTCATTCATTCATTTAAAATGATGTGGTTACATGACCAATTTCTTCCAAGGTTTTCCAGAAACTACTTTCTATTACCCTCACAAATCCACCACTCTCCCCTACATGTTTTTGCTTCTCCAGTTCTCTCTTATTTTTGCCATGGAATACAATATGATATTTGGTTTTACGATATAAAATATGTTAGTAAATACTACATATTTAAGCTTCAAAGTGATTTAAAAAGGGCTATACAATTTACACGTTTGAGGACCCAATGATTTAAATAATTTGGGCAAATCAGTTTGTTCTGGGAAGACGGCACAAGGCACAGGTGCCTGAACTATAACACGAGTGTAGACAAAGCGCAAGTCCATGAGGAGAAGTATCTGGGGCCTGAGCCAGTTCAGTCCACTGATCCAGAAAATATGATGGCACTGTTTGGCAACTATGCCAAATTTGACTGCAGCACACTCGCAACCTTGTGTGAAGCATAAGCAGCTTTGAAGATGACTGAATCTTCCACTCCGTTTTACTCTGGCGGGAAAAAGCGGTTTAAACAAATCCTAGTGCACAAGCTGCAGTTCAACATATCTGTCATATTGAAAATACAACATATGTGGAGTTAATAGTGGATGAATTGCAAGAACTGGCAGAGTTTTTAAAAAACACTATATTCCACCAATACACGTCTAAGGAAAGTAGAACAAGCAGATGATACAATTAATTATGAGTTAGAGCGAGAGAGATTATTAATGCAAAGATGTTAAATGTAATCTGAGAGGCTGTCGGATGAGTCGGATTGCACCAGCCATACTTCAGATTTGGCCTTTTATTCAAAACATGAAAAGGGCACTTAAAATTACAACCAAGCTGGGGAATTTTGAACCAGCTCTAGGCAGCTTTCCCTTTTAGAGTTTTCACTTGAGCACATAAAGCGGCATGACACGCGCACCAGAAAATTTTACTTCAAAGACTCAACCCCACTTGACTCAGGAAAGTGTTTGCTCACACGCACATCATCACCATGAGGCTACCAACGTGTCTCTGCATCTGCTCTGCTAATTACAGCAGCTCTAATTGCTAGTCAGTTTGATTTATCAATTTTATCAGCGGCAGTGGTCATTTCCCTTGCGACGCCATTTCCTAGTTTGGCAGTGGGTGATTCAATGGAATGGCCGGCCAGTACATGTTTGTGTGATGTACGCAGGCAATGGGTTCTAGTTCATCGTATAATTTATTGTCATTACAGAACACAAGGATGCGGGTGAAGCCCATTTTTCAAGAATTTGCATCATAAGAAAAGTAAAAAGCTGCAACAAAAACAACTTTCTTTGCATTGTCCATTAACTCTGACTATGTTCAAGGTCCGCCCTCGAAGTGCTCCTCGATCAGGGATGCAACACTGGAGCCGAGTCCTTGTGATCCGACATCCGACAGCCAGCGGCCATCTTGCTGGTCCTGCCTGGGGCATTTTGGTGGCGTTTGCTCGGGGACGTGCTGTTATCCACACGCACATATATTCCAAAAGAGTTTAACTGAGTGCATACAGGTTTATCATCGCTCAAGGTCCCTTTCGGCCGGGAGCCATTTGAGAATAGCGTGTGAGCAGTCAGAACGGCAATATGAAAAAAAAGGCAATAAAAGATGTTCTGAGAAAGTGTGAGTGTGATCTTTGTGAGGGCCTTGAGAATGCAGCCATAACTATAGCCCCCCAAAACGTAATGGAGAATGTAAGATTAGCCGAGGATAGACACAAAGGTGATACCAAACACATCTTTGAGGCCATTTAGTTCAGATTTCCAATGATAATATAAGCAGTGTTCCTGCTGCGACCCTGAGTCTTTTTATCTGTGGGCCGTGTCCAGAAAACTGCCAAAGGGAGAATCGGGGGATCAATCTTCATTACATGTTCATCCAGTTATTGAAATTGTTTTGATGGAAATGGCCGAGTGCTGTGGTGATTATGGTGGAGACCTTCCACGCTAATGTTATTTAGTGGGGTCATATACAGAATTGTATTTCATTCTGTCATAGGATGATGGTGTAGATAACATCTTATATATTAGTAAGAAATAAGCTGTCTCAAAAACAGATATTTCTTCCCAACATTTCAAAAGTCATTTCACTCAACTGCTTTTAACATTTTTAAAACTACACTTCACATTATTGCTGCAGCAGCATGATGCTTTATGTTGAACTATTTCGTTACTCTGTTCTTGCAAATGTCACTTCTTCACAAAGTTCTCCTAATTCTGTTGCCAACTTTCAATATTACCTTATAGAGCAGAAGTCTCTAGCATAATTAGGTCTTCTATTTGCTCATGATGTATCTTATCCTTAAATCCTTAAATCCTTAAATTCCTCAGGTCCTTCAGTTGCCCAAATGTTGCTTAAAATGTGACCCAATTAAACTGAATGTATGGCCATCTACATGATTTTTAAACGTTGCATTGTTGGATTGAAAATATTTTCATTTGTTTATTTCGGTTTCGGTTCGATCATTACATAAAACCGCTCCTATCTGTCGATGGACCAACTGAAACTAAAGGTTTGAGAACGCAGATAAAAATGTTGGACAAGATGTCTTCTTAAGCAGCTCTTAAAAAGTTCTTTGAGGATTGGAAAGAAGCAAGAGAAGGTTAATCAACCTCTTAAAAGCAACATTTAAGCATACTGGAGTTGTGTTCCCACCAGTACGCATTTGAGATGCGTTGGAAGAGTCAGGAAAAAAAGTGAGGACAAGTGGCAAAGCGTCAGTGAAATGCTCAAATACACATTATTGTGTTATTGTGTGCGCAAAAACCTGAGACTAACTGTCCGGAAGTATATTTTTTTTAAAAAGGGTGCAAACGCTCTTTTGTGTGGAAGGATCTAATAGTTTGAGAGAATGTGAAAATGTGCAGGTCTCTCAGTTGTAATCTCTCAATATGCTTTTACATTAAATGGTTTCAGCAAAAATGGGTGGAGGAGATTAGGAACGATTACAGTTTGAGGGTGTATTTGGATCTCAAATTGAATAAGAATTTTTTTTTTCATAAATAACTCTCAGAACTCAGAGTGTTTCATGTTCCGTAACTGGAAAAACTATGAAACAGAAAGAGGATAATTGGCTTGGACTATGAGCAAAAATAGTTTAACAGAAATGACTGTCCCTGAACAATACAGCCTGCCAGAACAGACGAAGGAGAAGAAAAGAAAAGAAAAAAGAAGAGAGGAGGATGGAGGAGGAGGAGGAGGATGTGATGAAGAGGAAGAGTAGCAGAGGCAAGCTGTCAAATCACAGCGGGTTTTTTTCAATGCGCAACAGGGTGTGGTGGCGAGAAACGACTAATCACAGTGTCCACTTCCATAAAACAGAATCCACTACTAAATGATGCTCTGTTAAAAACTATTTATTCAAAATGTTTACAATTGAAAACAGTTTGACATCCTCTCACTCACACAGACAATAGTGAAGCCGACTTAACAATAATTATTATATTACATTTATAATATTACCAACATATGGTTCTTTAATGCACAAATATGCCGATATTGTATTCTCAGATTCTGGTCTCTTTAGTTGTTTACAAAAAGATGCTGACTTCCCAGGATGCTAAAATGGCCCCGTGGACGACACACACACACACACACACACACACACACACACACACACACACACACACACACACACACACACACACACAGAGGAAAAATCCTGTACTTTCAGCCTGGTTTCCACCTCCTAATAGTCACATCTGCACCAAATTGACAAATGAATCACTGCAGCACATGAATGCATTCATGCATTGATCGTCCGTGGGCATATTTGTGACCCTCAAACCTCATGCAGCTTCAACAAGGGAGACGTGGGAGGTCTCCAGATGGGGGGCATCGGGGCCATCTAGTGGTCCCTAGTGGGGTACGACCGGCAGCGTGAGGTTGCGCAAAGCCAAGGAGCGTTGAAGGCATCGAAACCAAGCAACGTGCCCATGAAGCGCACCGAGGCGAGCGGCAGCGTGCGGACCGGATGTTTTCATGGTGGAAACTGGACCGGTTCGAACGGCTCAAACACGACCGCCATCCACAGGGGGGTCGTGGATTCATTTGCCAAGTGGGAACACCTGTTGCTCAGTCTGCTCAGCCAAAGCCCACTGACTCGCGTGTCGTGGCTGCAGACAACACGCACGCACGCACACACACACACACACACACACACACACACACACACACACACACACACACACACACACACACACACACACACACACACACATATGGTGTCATTCAACTTAACTCGAGATAAGAGTTAAATAATACCTTATAGGATGAGACGTCTTCCGGGACACGCTGTAACGCAATACACACACACACACACACACACACACACACACACACACACACACACACACACACACACACACATTTAAGACGCACACACACATCTTCCAGGATGTCATATATCAGGTTGGCTGCTGGCGGTCCACTTTTCTGACTCGATTTCACGCCAATCTGACTGACACGCGCATCGCAGGTCGCGTCACAGAGTCCGCGCGCAGATGCTCTCGGGAGGAGGTTTCATCCCCGCGGACCGAGCACCGATCTGCTGCTCGGACAACAGGCGGAAAATAAACGCGCGCTTCAAATGACTATTCGCCTGCTGTACGACTAATCGCCATGGTAGATTTAGACTCTAGATTTAGTGGAAGGGTGGGGGGGCAGGTGGGGGCAGATTTCATTTGCGAGCTGCCGCAGTTTAATTTTAATGCACGCACTTGGTGATACTTTTTTTCATTATTTTTCTTTTCTATGTGGATGCACTTTGGATTACCGATGGATTTCTTAATCAATTCAAATTTTTCCCTTGGATACTTTAATTCGTCAATAACAGGTACGTAGGATGAGCAACTCGTTCATAAGGGCAATAACTGCAAAAAACACAAATCCAGTATTTTTTGTTTCGGTGTTTTCATTTCCCCCCAAATTACCACACGGGTTTCTTCTCGTGTTTCAATCAATCAAGCTTTCACATTTTATTGCATTAATTTCAGGTGGAATAAACAGTGGAATCCTTTTCCAAAGTTGCCGACTTGTAAACTGTGAACTCCAGGATGTCTACTTAATTGATTAATGCACCTAATTTTAGTGTTAGAATAATGGCGACAGGGTCATCGTGCACAGACTGGGTCTGTGACAGTTTTCTGTGTTTAAAATACTTATTGCACTTAGCAACTGGTCTATTCTTCTAACATCATCGTTATACTTAACAAATGCAATAGTTCTGCCCTCATCACCACCTGTCTTTGTTCTGCACTGTTCCCTCTCCATTCCCACACCCCAAAGTAAGTCATTATTCATGAATTAATTAAGTAATTATTCTACCCTGAAATTATACAGCAACCTAATATCAAAATGCTATAAGTGATCAATTGTGGGAAACCGGCCACATGCCCTGACTAACTACAATTGATGATAATGATAATATTACTCTGCTGTACTTGCTCTTTGAATCAGGTAACAATGTGACAGAAAAGCTTTAATGTCGTAAAAGGTTACTTGACCCAATGTACGACCCGGTATGACATCACTACATGCATTTGATTGATATTCAACTGCTGCAGCGTCCCTTTTCTTATCTCCGGCTGCAGACGGCGCCCTTTACCGGAGTGCCATCCTACCCGGCATCTTCGGCATCATCTGCTTCCTGGGTATCATGGAGAACTGCATCGTCATCTACACCATCATGAAGAAGACCAAGTGCCGCGCCAAACAGACCGTTCCGGAAATCTTTATCTTAAACCTGTCCATTGTGGATCTCCTGTTCCTCCTTGGGATGCCGTTCCTCATCCACCAGCTGCTGGGCAACGGCACCTGGCACTTCGGAGCCGCCATGTGCACGGTTATCACGGCGCTTGACTCCAACAGCCAGATTGTCAGCACTTACATCCTCACTGCGATGACACTCGACCGATATCTGGCTACGGTCCATCCCATCCGCTTCAACTACATCCGCACGCCTTGCGTGGCAACGCTGGTCATCGGCCTGGTCTGGGGCCTGTCGCTTCTCACCATCATCCCCGTGTGGATGTACGCAGGCCTGATGCCCCTCCCGGACGGCCTGGTGGCCTGTGCTCTCCTTCTACCCAACCCGGTCACTGACATATATTGGTTCACGCTCTACCAGTTCTTCTTGGCGTTTGCGGTACCTTTGGTCATCATCTGCCTGGTGTTCTTTAAGATCCTCCAACACATGTCCACTAGCGTGGCTCCGCTGCCGCCACGCAGTTTGAGGGTGCGCACCAGGAAGGTGACCCGGATGGCGGTGGCCATCTGCCTGGCCTTCTTCGTCTGCTGGGCCCCTTATTACATCCTTCAGCTGGTCCACCTCGGCGTGCAGAAGCCAAGCGTGGCTTTCTCCTACGCCTACAACATAGCCATCAGCATGGGTTACGCCAACAGCTGCATCAACCCGTTCCTCTACATCGTCCTCAGTGAGACCTTCAAGAGGCTGTTCCTCAGGGCCGTGCGCCCGGTCAATAGAAAGTTCCGCGTGAACCCGAGCACTACAGATGGGGGAAGCATGAGTGTGAGAATGTTGCCTGAAGGGGCTCGGCAGGAGCCAGCACCCGGGGAGATGATGCCGTCCAACATGGCGCCACAGTGAATTATTTAAACGACGTGCTTGCTAGTTTCTCAGCATATACCTTGAGCGTATTGTTGTTTCCCATCTTTCATAGTCATGCAAAGCACAGCACCGCTGATTAACATTTCGAGCTGCTACGGGACTTGAACACCAGTTTACTCATCTACACCTTGAAAAAAATTAACAAACATTTTCAAAATGGGAAGCTAAATGGGAAGTAAAATCTTACTGGCCTAACTGGTCAATTCAAAATATACTGCAAATTGTCAATAAAACCTTTTTGTTTGGTTGAACATCATCACATGTCGAACAATCCTGATATCTTACCTTTGAAAATCTATATAAATCAACAATTAAGCCACGGGCTGTGATCGGAGGGTTGCTTAATCGATACTGAAGGTTTACGGAATACAAGGCAAGAGGTCTCACATCGCTGAGTTTCTCAACAGCATGCAGCCAGCGGACAATGACTGAGAGAGGAGAATCTTTTCATCCAGTGAATCCATGCACGCGACATGATGCTGTTATGCTCATGTGCCAGCAGACTCCTGCAGCTTGGGGGGGGGGAGTCACACATTCATGTTAAACAAGAGCCATTTGCAGCCTGAGCAGTCATGACATGCCAGCTACACTCAGTCCCCTTGTCCTTTAACCACTTCAACAGGGGGCCTCTCTCTTCCCAGAATGTATCATATTAAGGTCAAACTGTTGTAAAATACCTACACCTGAAAAGCAGTTTTTGATGGCGTTCTCTTGCTGGTTTGTGTGTGATCATGTTTTTAATGTAATATATAACATCTGAAACGCAAAATGGAGAATGAGACTGGACATAATGTCTTCATGTGATGTGAGATGCTGAAAAAACTATCGCGATAACAAGCAAAGTGCTTCTAAGACTCCTCGCTATTGTAACGTTGCTTTAATGTGGAAGACGCGACTTCCAATCACGGAAATTAGCTGTGCGAGTCATGTTCTATTTATTGTGTTGTTCAAACAGTGACCTAAATATATGTTAAAAAATATAGTTTTTCTGTTACTCTGTGCAGCTCTATATCTGTTTGCTCCTTTTCTCTGTTTGCTCGTTTCTCTGTTTGCTAAATCTTAAAAGGGACGATTCACCCAAAAATCAAAATGAAGTTTTTTCATTACTGTAGAGCTGTTTATTGGAATAATTAGTTGTAGTGTGTTTTGACTAGTGTTGGAAATACCGTCTGTAGAGGTTTCTACCTTCTCTCCAATATAATGTGATTGGTGTAAATACATTTAGAAAGCTCATCAGGAATGTACCTTTAGAATACACCAAATAGTTATTGGTCAAGCAGTGACAAAGCATTTTCAGGATCAATTCAGTGTGAACTTCAACGCAGGAATAATACTGAAGAGTCGATCACATCTGTAAAATGACGCAATTTTGCAGATGAGGTGTTTGTGATTGTTTTTGGGAAGGGTGTATGCGCCATGTATTCATCTTTGAATATAACTTTTTTAAATAGTAGCCTTTTGTTGCATAGAGGGCAAAGGAAGCTCTGACTTGATCAAACGCACAATTAATTGGAAATGTTTTCAAATAAAAAATAAATTAAACAGCTAGCGTGGGTCAGTTATAGAAATCCCCCCACCTGCCTATCAAAACACAACTTTTAGCTAAGAAACTGTTTAAACTGTTGTTTCTGTCTGATGTGAAGCAGAAAAAACTTGAGCAGTTTTGCTTGATTGTTGATGAAAACAATAACTTGCGTATTGTTGTGAGCATTGAAATAAATCAGTACGACCAAAATACTTAATGAGCAGGCATTCTTTGTACTGTGGTTGTTGTTTTGTCTGTCTGCATTATGATTTAACTGATATCCAACATTAAAATGTTTTCACTGAAACTCATTCAATTTATTTAGACTATTCAGAAAAGGCGTTTGTTTTAAAAACCAGCGGGAGATCTTTTTGTCGGAGCTCAAAACTCCTGCGGTGGGATTCAAATTTGAACTCACATCTTGGGATGGATCGGGTAGAGTAAAGAGATGAAGCGACAGGGAACCAGCAAGGACGCATGAAGTGACTGACAATCCTTGTGTATTGTATGATCTCCAATTGGAATGTAATTGGCAGTGTTCTCCAGGAGAAGCAGTTTGGAGTGTGCAGATGAGAGGCTGTGCCGCGTCAGCATGGCCGTTTTATCAAAGCGCCTCATTTGCTTTACAAAAACACATCGAGGAAAGTCAGAATCACTCAACTCCACTAGTCCGTCGCACGCTGTGTTGTTATTTTCCCTGACTGACAAAGACCCTGTTGTGACATGGATTGTAATAAAAGAGATATGTTTTAAGGGGGGAAAGTGTAGAGGGCTTGGGGATGTGGACGGAGGTGGCTGAGGGAAGGAGATGGTGGGGGTGAAGCGAGGGGGCGAGGAAGGAAAGGAGAGATGTGCTGGAGGTGGTTTGGAATGCAAGGCGAAGCCATGAGGACGCAGGCCGTCAGTGGTGCAACAACAACGTCAGGCAGGCAGACAAACACCAGAGGAGGTAATGCACAAGAAACAAAAACTCGAGAGGCTGCCAGAAATCCCCCAAAATTTCCACCGGAGGCGGTGAAAGAATCTGAGTGGAATCCGAGAGCCCGAAGGAGGGCGGTTGTGGGTAATCAGAGGAGCACCGGGCCAGCAGAGGTACACAGAGCCGGGGGGGGAACAGAGGCACAAATGTAAAACACACAGTAATCAAGGCTCAATGACACAGCGGAACATATTCTTTTTTATATTATATATAATATATTATTGTTGTCACAATAGTTTTACCAGCGAGAGAGTGATCAAGTCTCTGTCAGCTTACGTTGCCGATTTCAATTTTTGTTTGCTCACCACGCAATCAGTTTAATAAAGTTCAACTGCGGCAGGGCTGAAGGTAAGACGGGAAGAGCTGTTTCAGCTGAAAGGCCATTCCAGATGAGATAAATTGAGCACTGTCAATCATCAAATTTAAGTGGAGCCAGCCGTGGCATTGATGAAATAGTCTCAAGCTGTTTTTCTCGGATCCTTTGGAAACAAAGTAATTCATAGCGATTCTGTGAAAACAAAATATGAGATGTCTTGTTTATCAAGATTTATGTGTGCAGCCATGGGAAATGGTTTCTATAATGGCTTATGAATCTTCCCAAAGCCAGACTAGATCTAATCTAGTTTTGAAAGTTTGATCAATTATTATAATAATACACACACAAAACCGTTACATTCTATGTCCCGACTACAGTACTTTCTAGTGCAAATTTCCACATTGACTGATCAGTCTCAGAATGTGCCAAAAGACGGTTATCGGTTAAAAGCTTAGTTTAAAGATTCTTAACACAAGCTCTTAAATACGCTAAATGCGACCTTTACAAGCTGGGATGGACGGTTTGAGGAAGTGAATGCAGTAAGTAGTTTAAGTGGTGGATGAGCTGGTAGTAAGAAGACAGCCAATTATGCTCAGAAAAATATCCAATTGTTTAAACAAAGGTCTGCACTGTTCTGCGAGCTTGTATCCATGACGACTGGTATTCATTATATAGGTCAACATTGCCGAATCTCATCGTTCACGTGAATGTAGATGACATGGTCACATGCAAGAAGCTGCCAAGTTGCAAAGTATCTTTGTTCGTATGTAAAATGTCTATAGAGTATTAAATCTAAGTCTAACACACAGTAAAACAGATACTCCCAAAAAATGTCAACCAGCTCAGTTCACTAGAATAATGACATTTTTTCAGAAAACCAATTATTTACAAAATTATAATAATAACACACCTGAGCCCCATTAATAAAAAACCTGAGCATCACAAGTCATTTGGTGGCATCACCTTCTTTTTGCTTAATGAATCGTGTTATTTATAGGGTACACAGTGTCTGTGACATTTCAGTCTAGACAAAAGCAAAGGATCAAACAACTGACCTACAAGCATTCCTATTAATACAGCGTGGAGGTAGCAAAAATCAAATCCCACATCTGGAAAAAAAAAGAATCTATAACTTACTGAGGAATAAGATACAAGAGAACTTCCACTCCTCATCCATTCATCTCTCAGAGTTGCTCAACCGTGTTACAGGAATGCTTATGGGCATATCTAGTGACCCGGAGGTGTCGGAGCTACCGGAAGAGTGCTATGTTCTCAAATATCTGCCAAACCAGCCTTGTAAGGTTTGAAAAAATCAATCCGGTAGAGACGTTAAGGAGTGCATGTGAAAAAGTAGTTCCGGTGTAGGTAGCAGCACGTACCATTGAAATCTAGTTCCCAGGGAGTGCTCACACCATTCTAACACCACTATGGGGCCTGTTTCAAATTCTACACTCAGAGAGCTGGTTTCATGATGTGTTTTAATTCATTAATTTATCAGTCGATGGCGGTGTCCTGAGAATATGATAGAAGGACTCTGTGATCTTATTTCTTTTCAGATATAGATATATAGCTAAACAGCGAGAGCAGATGAGCAGGACGCAGAGGCACTGCAGGAAACTTTGATACTTGCCTGTATCCCCCTCAAAGACTCCATCCGCCTACCTCATCGCCTCCATCCCGCCCCCCAGCCATATTCTCTCAGCCACTGTTCTACGAATGCAGAGAACTGTGAAACACGGCATCAGGAGAATTTTCAGGTGAATCCGTGAGTTAAGAAGGAGGATGACGCTGCAAACACGGCAAACGTTCATCGTGAGTCAATACCAGCACGCGCTCTAGATGTTCAGGTATCAGAGGGAACGCTTCTTGTCATCTCTCTGTTGCAGCTGCTTCTCACTGACCTTAAAAGGGACTGAAGCAGTAAACAGAGGGGCTCATGAAGGACACTCAGAGAAACCCCACTGCCCCCCCCCCCCCCCGGACACCAACAAATAATGCTAAACATCAGCATGAAGAATATTTTTACGGTTTACCGGGGAAATTGAAAAAAGAGAAAAAAGCAGGGCCGTTTCTTGAAATCACCAGTATGTCTCAAGCAGTAAATTGATTCAGGTCTGACTGCGTCACCTCTCAACCGTTGAGCTGAGATGACAGACTGTCATGCTGTGTCTTATGAGTGTATTACGTTCCACCTTCTACATCCTGGTTCTTGCATCGCTCATCAACACCCGTTCTGTCCTGTTTATTAAAAAAAAGAGATATTTGATACACGACCCGATTCAGTGGCTTCTCGGCCAAACACAGAAGCAGAGTAAATTTAAGCGGTTAATATTTTTATTTTAACTAATTAATTAACCCACTTAATTGTTTCGGTTCCCTGTCACAGGTCTCGTCAAGTTGTTTAACTGAAGAACCTCCACCTCACACTGCCTGTTCAGCATTACACAGCAGACAGACACCGTAGAGAGCCTGGGGGAGCATTTAGAAGCTAAAGGGACAGACATCTTCTCCTGGAGTTGGTGGAGGACAAAAGCAGACAAAACAACTGCAGCAAATGACAAGATGTCAGCAGCCAAAAATCCCAAAACCAAGTCTTCAAAACGGCTGTCCACGAATACTGAGGGACATCCTCTGACTAGGCCAAATTATTGTACACAGTCAATGACAGAAACATGACCCAATTTAAATGCTATATGGTTTAGAAATGGTTGGCTTTTGTAGATAAGCAACGTTGCCACTGCCACGTTTGCCAAGAAGACGATACGTCACCATGATTATATAAACTCAACATCTTGAACATTTTATGGTCCTTCCACTTCTTTGTCCACTGCTATTTTTTTCTCCTTTTTAATTCATACTGCGCTGTGTTACCCGTTAGCTGTGAGATGCTAACCATGTTGAGAGCGAGTTAGAGAAAACACAAATGCTACCAATTTGGGATTTTGCACCTTTCAATAAAATTCAGAATCGAGCATCTAAACGGAATTGACTGCAGGCCATAGTCATAAATAAAACATTTTTATTTGTTGTATTGAAAAATAAAACAATGTCCCATCAATATTTCTGTACCGTTGTTTTACATTAAAAGCATATAGATACACCCTTATGCAAAACATATGATACTTGTGAGTTCAGTTGCCAACCCAGTTGCCAGATTTTTTTTGCCATTGTAGTTTTTTGAAGCAGTTTCGTTGAATATTAAATGTTTTTGCTTTCGGTTAGTGGGTGACTTTCACCCTGGAGACACTGTTTGTGTCATGCGAGACTCCAAAGCCGACAGCGCTTTTAAAAATAATTCTGTTCCATAATAAAAGTCAGCTAAAGATGTTTGTCATCATTAAACTTTGTTACGTAATTATTTAGACCCCCAAAATGATTTTCTTTTCTTTTTTTCTAACCTTCACCAAGTAGTTCTGATAACGATTGTCAACGTTTGCATCTTCATGAAACGTATCTATGGAACATTTTTACAGTACATCTTTAAAGAAACATATGTCAAATAAACCGCTAGCGACTGGGTTGTAGTTAAATACCGTAGCATCTTGTTCATAATCACTACACCCCATAGGTCTGTGTGTGTCCATGAATATATACAGATTTCTTTTGATAAAATGTAGAAAAATTGCATATACAAAACATCTTCAACTAAGATTTCACAAAAAAACACAGGTGTGCTCAGTTTGGCAGAGTAAACATTGTGTGTATGTGGCCACATGTGGATTGAGACATGCAAAGTTGAAACTTAATACATTTACAACGCAATACAGACTTTAGGTCGATATATTCTGATCTAATGCTTCATTTGAGTCAGTAAAGCGACTGAAAACAGACATTTTGCGGGGTATAAACATTTTTAAAAACACGTTTTGATTGTAGCCATTATAACAAGAAGGTGGCCTTAGGTATATAAGTTGAACCAACTATTTCAAAATCAGTTTTTAGATCTCTGTCAAATGTCTCTTTGCTACAGTACACAATTTCTCAAACACTAAGCTGCACTACATTTCAGCGTGGGCATCAGAACTGAAAAGATTCTAAACAGCTCCACTACTTTTGCAACCAGTGTGAAAGTGGACAGCCAATGCAAATCCAACTATATGGTTTGGAAAAATCATAAAAGAGGACGGGGAAATAGCAGCAGCAGCCGATCCCATTCAACGTTTCAAGGTCCAAAACTCTACTTCAACTTCAATTTCATGTGTAGGCTACTCAAGAAAAGCTGCCGTTGCCGACTGCATGAACTCACTCAGTTTTATAAACAGCACTTCAAGTTTGTGCAAAGGTTTAATGGTTTCTCTGCTCCTCTGCAAACAGAGTTAAAGTGCATGACCTTTAAAACTGATAATGCCACCCGTGCAATTTCGTGGAAATTGCAGCAATCCATTTAAAACACCAATATATATCCTACTGTAATTTCATAATTCCTATGTAATGAAGCTGGAGCTACCATGTGAAGCTGCTATGTGAAGCTGGAGCTGCTCTGTCTCAAAGCCAGAAACCAGAGAAGTAATGCGGTGGATTCTTTAAAGATCTACAGCGAGCTACGTACTCGATAACGTTACTGAGCAACCGCCTGCTGGAAGTGTGAAAGGAAATGGTGGAAATCTCAAAATGAAACATGTTTATTGAAACCCTAAGTGGTAAAGGGGTTGCGCACACCTCACATGAAAAATATTAATAGAAGAGTGGTGTATTTTCCATTTGTAGAGAACTAGCCAACTGTCGGCTAGCTAGCTAGCTACATTAGAACTTGTTTGAGTGTTAGCACTCCCCTGCTGGTTACTGCCAAACCTCACATAGCCAGCTCACTACTTGTCGGACGTTGGTTTTGTTTGTATGAAAATAAATCCCCAATATACAGTGTTTGCAATTTAATCGTAACAAATAAAGAAATAACAGCCTTTGCTCTGAGCAACCTGCCACTTGGTTTCAATTGGAATGTCTGTTTTACTCATATTCCACTTATTAAAATATAGTGCTGTAGTGTTTGGAGTGAGGATACCTGATTATGTTTCTTTTTTACTGGCTTAGACCGAAGGTACAACATCTACTCACAGTGTACAACAACGTTGTTCAGGAACAATGTTTCATGTTCAAATGAGATAATGGAGATTTTTTAGGCTGATATGCATTTGATAACTGAATTAAAAAACCATCACCTCCTCATATTCATGTTAGTACTTAATACTGGAATTATTGAAGCTTGATAAATCGTGTTGGTTTCCAGGGTTAAATATACATTCTAGTTATACACATTACAAAAGGTTGTTGTTGTGTTTGGGGGGTTTACCAGTTTTCAGTGCGTTTTGTCGTTCTTTAATGCTTCACTGCGTATATATATATATCAATATCAATGAGCGTTTACATACGTGTAGAGCCTGACAAGGCATTGTGGGACTTTTCTGTGCACATACATCATCGAAAATAAACCACTGCAGCCGCAAAAGAGGTGTCCAGCCGGCCTGTTAAAGCGTATTACCGCGCCACGGCAGACAAGCAACCAGGAAGTCAAAGATTTTTATAAATGGAGTCCCTGCTGACATCCAGGCTGGGAAAATTAAATCAACGCTCTGCTTTCTTCCACCAGCCGGATACTAAGGATGCACTTCACTCCCAGCGGTGATTCCCATAACAGCTGTACAGCAGCCAAAAGTGTAATTTCACTGACTTTAGCAAACACACCATACCAATTAAATATGAATCACATTGATAAAGGGAAAAAAGATAGCAAGGAATTAACCAATCATAAAATGGATTACATTGAATACAAAAATAATAATAATATATGCTTGAACACTTTGTTTGTGGCACAGACATGAAGCAGTATTTAGGATTGTTTATGACTGTTGTCATTGAGGTTTAAATGCCATATGTGCTTGGTTTATACGTTGGCTGATATGAGACATGAGTTGAATATCTTCTTTTACCTTAACTACAGTGTAATCATTTGTACTAAATGTCCAACGTCATGTCGGATGACTTTACTTAAGTATCCCGAAACCGCTGCTAACTGTAGCCGCCGTTAGCTCGTTTAGACGTGCAGCTTGCAGTCCAATGATCGGATTCTGGTATTATAACATTTAATCAGTCTGATGTACTGCATTGTTAACACATTAAGCTGAATAGACATTCATGATATAGTGTTTATGATGCCACGTCATTGAGACATCTCATACAATTTCAACGTTGCATTTAAAATGTCGAACAATTTGAATTTGAATTGTCATGAACACTCATAAATACTCCTTCGTATTCTTGACTGGGTCATAATGCACCAAACAAAATGTGACAAAAAAGAAGTGAACTAAAAAATGCATTAGTGTTTTCTTGTTATGATACCATCATTGAGACGCACAATCAGAGCCAAATAGACAAAAACAATCTCCACTCAGTTTAAATCCTTCAAGCAGGTGTAAACACAGACACACAGGGATCTTCTTGGCACTTGTCTCATCAAGTGTTGACAGCTGATTAGTGCTAGTTATCTTACAGCACATTAAATGCATACATCAAAACCAAATACATTTATCAATGCGGATAACTTTATTCCATGTTTCAAAACTTCTTTGGATTTGATTGTTCAGAGTGTGGCTCAATTGAGGGAAAACATCTATTATGTAGATTGTAGTATTTTTCTCCCTGATACTTTCCATTTGGTCACCAGATGTCGGATCCCACTGACAAAGTGGCTTCAATCAAACGTGTGTCGCCTCCAGCTGACACAAACTGTTCCCTAACAGGGCTCCCGCCGAAAAAAACAAATGCATTCAGTCTCATCAATAGATGTTACATGAAGGATATACAAAGTTTTCTAATGGTGGAAACTGCATTGAGCGGACAGATAAAAGGTATACTGCTCCTGGTGGGACATCTAAGCCAACTGATGATTAAGAGAAGCGGGTCAGCGTCTCCACAGAATAACCCTCCCACACGGTGAGTTATTACAGTTAGAGGTCTTGGTCTGACCACCAAAACACCATTAACTGGAGTCCGGGTCACACAGGGACAAGTCAGTGCTTCAGCAACACACAAACAAACAGACAGGATTAAAGATGAATAACTGATTTAAAACGAAAACGGCAGCCTCAAAGTGAGACCCCTAATCAAGTTGGCACATCATTTCCTCTGACTGAATAAAATGAGTGTGTCGTGCCAGTGAGTAGACAACCACGGGAGTTCCAAACGGAGAGATGGATTCCAGCACACTAGACAAATAATAATGAGCACAGATAAGGTGGTGTGTGTGTGTGTGTGTGTAATATCGTGCTTCCAGTGCTAAACAGACAAACTCATCGGTCTAAACTGCATATTATTTTCTCAGGCACTTGTTTTAAGTCAGAAACCCACTGCTGATTGTATCCCAGAATTACAGGACCCGTCATTTGCTAAGTGACTCTCAACTCCGAGGCGCGGGGCCACTTCGAGCCACTTCATGTTCTGGAGACAAGAGAGGCCCGCCGCTGGGAACCGAGGCTCTATTGATCTCAGAGATTGGACGTAATTTACTTGACGACAGATTAAAAAGAAAAAGGCTCTGAGTGCTCGTGCGGTTCTATGGAGCGTCTCCGCGTCAGAAGCTGGACTCGGGAACCGTCCTCTTGCGTCCCAGCGAGGCCGTGCTGTAACGGGTCCTCTGCAGGGTGCCGTAAGACGGTTTGTCTGCCGTCAGGCTGCGCGGCGGCCGCGCCGACATCCCGTTGCGGTGCAGAGACGCCGTCCTGCGCATGCCCTGCTCCTCTTTGGTGGGGATGTTGGAGGAGCTCTGGGAGCGCTTGATGTCCGCCGTGTTTCGTGCCGCCTTCCCGTCTGCCAGCACATTGCCCGCATTGCCCGCGCTGTTGGACTTGCTTCTTTCCACCCGGGTTCCCCCTCCTGCGGCTCCGTTGGACAACGGAAGCCTAGATAGGGTCCTCCTGCCTCCGTCCTCTCCTTCTCCCTTCCTTGAGTCGACCTCCTTGGACTTCCCCACGTCTTTATCCTTCTTCAGGAAGTTACCTTTAAAGAAGGAGAGCAGTCCCTCATTGTTCTTGGGCGCTTCTCCTTTCCTTCCCTCAAACGCACTGTGGTGTTCCCTATCAGCCCTGTCCCCATTTTGTCTTCTTAGGGTCCCATCAAGGAGGCTAGGGGTGCTGTGGCTGGGCTGGACTCCGGCACTGGAACTCCTTTTTGCCTCCGTGGTGTCCTGGGAGGTTTTGGAGGAGCTTTGCCTCCTTGCATCCTTCCTGCTGCTCAAGGTGTTACTAGCAGAGCTACTGCTCATCTCACCTCTGGTTTGACTGTCCTTTCTGCGCCTCAAGCTGGCTGTCTTATCGGATGCTTTCCTCTGGCCCTCCGGGACCTGAGGAGACTCAGGCGGCAGCTGGTTCCCCCCCTTATTAATACAACTTAAGCTCCCAACGCTGGCAGATCGGACGTTGGCTGAAGCCCGGGCCCCGGCAGGTTCCTTTGCCCTGCGCGCTTCGCTCATCAATGTTGCTATCGGATCCTTCGTGCATCGGGGCCGCCGGCCGGACTCCAAGTACTGCACCAGCTCCACCGGGTCGGCATCTTGGACCGACAGAGGAACCAGGTCGGGTTTCCACCTGTCCTTTGAACCAAAGGACCAGCGCAGGGGAAACACTTTGCTCAGGGTCTCCTTGGTCTTGCTGGGGGCTCTCATGCTCACGCTGCGTCCCTGAAGACCCCTGATAAAGGTTCTGCTCTCAAAAACCCCTATAAGACACGTAGAAATGTGACATATTTGCACAGCATTCATCTGTAAAGAAGCAACGAACAAGACTCCAAAGCTATCAGGGCGTTCACTGACACTCACCTCTTTCCTCTTTGGAACCGTTTTCAAGGAAGACCGGAGACTCAGGCGAGTCAGGTAAGGACGATGGGCAGGTGGTGGAGAATCGAGAGACCAGACTGCCTCGCTTGCTGTCCCCCGTCAGCCGGATGAGCCAGTGGTCGGACATCGACGAACTGGTGGATCCTGTGCGACGAGAGGAGGAATACAAAGTAGACATTTTTGCACTTTAGCAATGGCTTTATTTTTTCAGCCCCTGGAGAATTCCACTTTTGTTATTAACTAAAAGATGACAGCGTGCCAGAGTATCTTATATCAAACTAAAGCTTGCTGTTTGTGAAAAGGTTAACAGTTGTAGTGGAAGGAGACGGGGGGATCCTTACTTTCCATTTGGGGTTGGGTTAAATGAGGAGTTGTCTTGCATAGCGCCGTGTCAGAGCTGCCTTCATATATTATCATAATGTTATAAAGGAAAGATCTAGTCAACCGAACAACGGTAGAGGGATATTTACTTTCATTTTATTTTCTGGAAACCAGTGTTAAAACAAGCTTGTGTATACCTTATTTAGGGAAAGGGACCTGGAACTGCAAAAAGAAGAGGCCTTTTTAGCCCCCTATTCTTCTTGCATCTGGTGGTCTCCCATCACGATTACAGAAACAAATATAATCACAGAAGGTACATCGCGTGTGCAAACTGTGAATAACGGCACCAACAACGTTATTTTCTTCAGGTTTTTTTTCAAGAGAAAGGTAATTATAATCAGACCCCCTCCCCCCCACCTCCCCCTTAAAAAAAGTCTTCGGATCGGCACGATTCACACAAGTCACCCAAACTGATGTGAAAAAAGCGAGAGGCGGCGTAAAGCGCGCTGTTTCACCTACAAAAAACACTAACAATGCAAGTAGGGAGAGTCAGATGGTGGAAGATCCCCTCAAGACTTTAGAGCATTGGAGGCTCGCCGCTGCATGTCTCATTGTCAATTATTTATGTCTGGGAATCACTTCCTCAGAAGTATGGTTGTAATAGAGGAGGAAATGAATGGTGAACACAATACCTGACCACTGAAATGAGCACAACGCAAATGACTTCAGTCACATGGTTAGCACAGTACTTGCACATAGTAAGCAACAGCCTTATCTTGAGAAAGAATTCGGAAAAGTGTATTTCTTCGGTAATATCATTACGAAAATGTGAGTCGCTTTTAGCTTATACAATATTATATTGTACTACTACTTATACTTATACAAATTAAAAATGGTTGATCTAATCTTAAAGCAATTTATTGTGTATCCATGGACGTGGCTCTGTAGCACAAAATAAATAGTATTTCAGACCCTTTTCCATTAAAGTTTTTGCTGTAGGAAATAAATTTGTTTATTAAATAGCCATCAAAATGGTGCATTCATCTGAAAGTCTAATCCACATTATTTAAAGCATCAGTACACTTCACATCAGGGATACTGTAAATGTGTTTTAAAGTGGACAGACGGAACAATGGAAAGTACATTGTGTCAAAAGAAATGTGTGCAATGTCAAACAGCAGTGAAACATTATTTCTGACATGTACTGTATAGTGGAAGGAAAAGCCCACTTCATACCGGATAAAGGTTACTTCTCATAACAGCCCTTTGACATTTGTAGTATCTGTGTGTGCATGCCTTCATCCGATCAGCCACGGCCAGTTAATCTATTTGTTGGCCTTTCCAAAGAGTCCATACATTCACATGACTTTACCTCGTTATCCTTTAATAAACTTCCACTGCTCTACTGTGTCCTTGGTTATTCCCCGTCTGCCTTTTTATCCGCTGGTTGAATGCATTCTTTTTTGTTGATACAGAAGACAAATGACTAAGAACCTTCTGTTTCATTTTTACATTTTTACAGTAGCTGCTTTCAATATTGTACGTGCCCTGTGGAGCAGACGCGTACGGACCTTTTAGGGCTGACGTTACGATGGAGTCAAACACGAATCCCCTCGGCGTGGTGGGCTAAGGTCACACCTCTGAAATGTCATCTTGAGACATTCGAGACTCTAGAAAGCCACAATATTGGCAAATAATTGCATAACATGTTGAAGATCGAATGCTACTAGTGAGCTTCTGCTAACCTCCTCGGTTGTCTTCTCTGCTGCATAACTATGCGGAGGATGGAGACATTTATTTTTCTGCTTCCGCTTCAATGATGAGATTCTAGATCCAAAAGACATTTGTCTTCTATAAGCAGGACCTCACATAGGCAGGATTTATGTGGCCCGCCCAACAGCAGGATTTACTTTTTAAAGAAAAAAATAAGGGCCATAATTGGTTCAGAAATGAGTTTGGAGTTTGCATCATAATTTAGCCATGCGCATACATAAATTATAATCCAATTGCGGTTTATATTTTTTTTCTAAAAAGTAAACCCACTGTCGGGTGAGCAAAACATTTGGGCTGCTGGTCCAAAGGAAAAACTCTTCATGTCAATCTCTGATTATGGATTCCAAGAGTGTCTGCATCTTTCACAAAACTCCCCAGTAAGTAGTTACGAATTCAGAATGAGTCATGGCAAAGAGGGCACTGACTGTTCACAGCGAGCCTTTAGAACGCAGAGACGGACGTGGTTGACTGCTGATGCCTTTGCGTTGACGCCTCTCCGACGTGCTCAGTCCGCATCTACTACTTTGGCATGGAATAAATAAATAGGTCTTTACCGTGAAAGAAGAAATGGAAAACAAGATATTTGATATCTTTCATGCAACTTGTTTTATTTTAATGAGGGAAGTTTACTTTAGACCGAATAATCTGTGAGACATGAAAACATTTCACTCAGACAATTTGTGTTTGAAACGGTGAAATAAAAGACACAATACAGTTGAGCTCCTCCACCGTGAGGTGATTATACTACGTTCTGAAGTGGTTCGCAACCGTAGGCATGCTCACCAGGGATAGTGTTTCTTCTTTTAAGGTTAAATCTGGGAAATTGAGATCATGCTGCGGATTTAAGTAAGGACACTTGGTTTTATATTGACTGCTCTTGAGAAAGGCTGAGAAGGCCATTAGCAGAATTGCTCCAAACATTAGAGCGATCCAAAGGGAATAACAACCTTGCGTTTACCTTGATACAAAAAGTGAGGCAGATGTGCTTCTATAGTCCTGTGGATGCATAACTCCAGCCAATCCAAAAACGGGGTTTGTAACCTTACTGTCAAAAAGAACAACAGCGAGCGCACAGAAAACACCTTCGAGCGCGAGCAGAGATTAACCTTGCGAGCAAGCAAGTTCACGTTCGCTGTTTGATGTTTGATTTATGCGCGCATCAACCTGATTTGCGCTCTCGAATTTTGACAGTGATTTGCCGTCATAAATGGCCTATAATATGCAGTATGTCATAGGAGGCGTGTAGCCTGCAATCAGCCACAAATGCATGCAGAGCCGAACACCACTAAATAAGGGATCTGAGGAGATATCGGGTGGAGGCATCACAAAAATAAAAAATGAATTCAAGAAAAAGGTTTTTGACTTAAAGCTATTCAACTATTGACCATTTTGGACAATTATGTATATTATTATTTTTAACTATGACCAAAAAACTTTGGGACATACTAAGCTAAATAATTCTTTTACTATTTTTTTATCCTGAATAATTCACTCTTCTGGAAATATTTGCCTTGTAAAATAATGTACTATTCACCCACAAATTTAAATGATGACAAACAATTCACTTATTATTTTACAAAACAATTTAGCAGAGAAGCAAAACCTTGAACCCTTATTTCACATCAAAAAGATATGGTTGCGAGGTTCAGAGTGGCATGACAATTAAAGCATCTGCTACGTCCAAACCCTGCACTTAATCATCTGCACATAATCATCCAGCAGAGAACAAGGAAAAAGGCTCTAATACGCCTGTAAGAAATGGTGAAATCGTCTGATTTATTAGACAGTTTTAATCAGAATCTTTCACACAGCTCTCTCCTCACGGAATATACGAGCAGCGCGGTTCACTGTGGACACAAGTTCATATCATACCTCTGACGGAGCAACTGGCCGACCACGGAGGAATGGTGTTGCGCCTCTGGTAGAAAAGGATGTAGGCTCCTCGGGTGCACACTTCCTCCTCGGGCACCAAGTCCACGCTGCTGTCGTCGTAGCTGTACCACTGTCCGTCCACGGAGTTCCGACAGTAAGCTGCATTAGCAAATGACATCGGTATAAACGCTATTGGTCAGAAAGGGGACTTGTTGAGTGCCAGCCTTGGGGGACTTTACATTGTGCAACACATCATACACAAGTAAACTCAACCTGTTTTATGTAAAACCGTGCAAAGAAAGTGGTCCAAACGTTTTATGGAGAGATTTTAGATACATAGTACCACATTAAACCGATGCAGACAGACGACACACAGAGAACAAACCCACGACTAATCTACGAGGTGCGATTTCAACCGCGCCATAAAAGACCCGGAGAAAGCAAGCGGTGACCTGTGGTTCATCATAAACCATCCCCGCCTATTACACACCTCGCCAGCGACTTCGATTTGTTACCTACATACCAGGAAGTGTCTCCTCATAGCTGAAGCTGTAATACTGGAAAAAGAAATGAAAAAAAGAAAAAGAAAAGTCTTTTTTTCTTTATATTGGCACGTCACTAGTAATTCTTCTCAATAATGTATTAAGTTGCCTTGGCAAAAAATGAGGAACTGTACCATTGTTGCAAATTTATAATTAACCTGGCATAATCTGTTTCTAATTTCTCACCAAAGAGGACATTTTACAGATTATATTTGAACGATAACATTCTAATGTACCTTTGTGCAATGCTCACCCCTGAACCCATCAAGCCGTTGCAGCAGGCTTTTGAAGCATATTTTACATAATGACCAAACGTTATGATGCTCAGGGTTTAAAAGAGACCACTACTGGTTTTGATCTGCCAATGTGAGCTAATTCCTACATAATGATTCATTAGCATCTCCTATTTGGTTATCTAGTCACTCATCATTATCAGATCAAGTATTTTATTCAGAGTTATTTGGGGAGGACTCATTTATGTTTAAAAGTTGTTCATCGCTGGTTTCTCTAACTAATGGTTCATTAATCATTAGCGTTATCTAATAGTTCATTAGCATCACATTTTCATTCTTCCCGCATTCGTCTCCTGCTAAATTCTTAGATGTGTGTATACCATAATATCAAAGGTTGACCTGTCGTCCTGCATGGCTGTTCCTTGAACTTAGAAAGCCAGTGACTAGTGAGCAGTTAGACTCATTAGGGCTCCGAGTGTCGTCCGTAAATCTTTAACACACATTTTTAGCGCCTGAATGGGTGCTGCAGGTAATTACTTCCAATCCATCACATGCGTGAAGACTGACCCTTCTTGCAAGTACGGCCGTTGTGGGATTTGGAAAGGGCCAGAGGTCCTAGAACTAATGTCTTAAGAGTCCAATGGAGTTGTATTCAGAGGGCCTTTTATTAGGTAGTTGAGTCAGATGTTCAGCAGGGTGTCCATTAACTCCAGATGAAGGACTCCTACGAGGGACGCTACATGTATGAAGAACGGGCCTTAACAAGGGTTGAATTTGGCTGCTGATTCAAAAGAATGTTGAATATAAAACAAGAGCAAAAGTTGCCTGACATCAAAAATAGCAACGTAACGTCCTTTTATCAATAGGAAGCTGTAGCCTGAAGCAGCCAGCTCAATGATGAATGTCAATCATATTAAACAAAACAAATAAACCTGAACGTCTTATAAGTGCAGTCCGCCAATTCCATACCAGTGTAATGTCCCCCGTGCATTCCTCCGTGGTGGTTACACACGGCGTAGAGGTCGTACAGGTAGTCGTGGGGAAGGACGGCGCTGGCCGCTTGGGGGTGATGTCCCGACGGGAGCTTACATGGGGGAGGCCAGGCCCCTGAGCTGAGGTTCCTCATGCTCTGACTCCTCTTCACCACGTGGGGGGCCATGTCCAAACCAGTCAGGGGGAAGCGCACCAAGGTGGACAGCTTGTTCCTCCGCTCACCTACCTGTTTAAGAACACGTTTTATTCACACACAGGGTACGAGAGATAACACACATTGCATGTGAACATCTACAAGGAGCGGATGGAACAGAAACGAACTCATTCGGCAGCCATCAACAAACACCAGCTTGTTCACTATTGAAGCTGCTTTCCCCTCTCGGGGATGGCTTCTGGTTGTAATGGCAGACACTGCATAACCCCTCAACCTTTGAGAGGAGTGTTGTGCGGGTGGCATCTGGAGAAATCCCCCGCAGAGACGGTCCTGAATGACTGACTGCATTTTTCATGCAGCGGCTGAGAAAAATCCCTCCGGTCCGAGGAGGGAAACCCCTCAGACTGAACTCAGGACTAAACACGCTGCCCTTTGTTTGCCAAAAAAGGCAGAGGGGTGTGAACGGGGCAGAGGTAGACGTATAGCTCGGCCTCAGCTGCAAAAGTGAACAGATGATAAGTGAACGATGGTTTCTCATTCAATTCAATGGGAAAGTGTGTCCAAACTCTGGACTGGTACTGTGTGTAGGTCGAGCAGATGGGAACGTACTCTGTGGGAGTCTAAGGAAGTTCGTCACTCACAACTATAGGATTGAACTACTATAACAAGCATGAGCACCATATATGATGGTATTGTGATGAAGACACACTCAAGTACTACTCGTGAAGCACAACGACCGTGAAAATAAACACAAATATGGCCTTGAAAAGGTGCACTGTACAAATGAACCGAGAATCAATAGTGATTCAATTTAATCTCACACACACATATAGACAATAACATTAACAGCAGCAGCAGCACATAAAACTATTCCTGCTGGATCAAAGTTGACTTATTGGATGAGATGCTCGGCAGAGTGAGGACACTAACGAGTCCCCGGGGAATGCCACCGCGTTGGCCCAGAGAAAGGGAGGGTGAGTGACGTCGCCTTTGCAGGCTACAAGGCTACTATTGTCTATGCTCATGAATGGGAGTTGGTTTTTAAGGGAAAAGCTTTTACGGAGGCTCCGTTCTAATGAAGTGTCCCAGTGATTCATGGCAGCACACTGCAGGGACCCTGAGACTGAAGCAGTCTTAGCTTAATGTCAAAATGTCTAATGACTTACAACACCTGCTTAGAATTAGCGAACCTATCCGTGAGAAAACACGGGGCGGTGCGGGGAACGATCCTTCAACGACTGAATAGTAAGGATGCTACTTCATTGAATCCCCGTTCAACCACTGATGCGTTTTGCTAAAAGACACCAACAATCCCAGCCTGCGTACAATGTGCTTCTCGGCCTCCGATATGGGAACGGGAAGAGGGGGCAAGGGGGGGTCACATGTCAGTAAAATGGGTGGTTATTACACCTCAAGAGTTGTTTCCCATTTCAATAATAGGAGGAAAGAGCAGAGGTCATGTTGATGGTTAGGGATTTGCCATTTGGTTTAAAAAACGTGCTGCAGGACCGGCTGTTCTTTGTTTTTGGAGCCAAAATCAAAAATCAATGCGTGCGACTGACTTCCAGACGAGTAAAGTGTTGCTTTTCAGTCCACGATGCATTTCTGGCTTAGCACTTATCATACCCCTCAATTATATCCTAATAAGTACTTATATCCCATGTGAGAGCCCAAATCCTTGTTGTCTGCAGAATAATTGGCGCAATTACTAAGAGAGCCCTTTTCATCAACATGCCTGCCATTAAATCGACAGTTGTTGAAATTACGTTAATTTAACTCCACAGAAAGGAAAGAAAACAACAAAACACGAAACAGCAGAAATTGCAGGACGCTATATAAAAAGTTTCACTTCTCTTGGAGCTGCTTTATTGTTTTTTTCTGGGGAACAGAATACGTTTGTGCCACATAAACTAGTCGTTTGATCAACTGTCAGTTGAAAAATACAGACTTGTGGCGCTTTAGGAGGCAAATGATTCAAGGCGCATTCACCGGCGACCTCTCTGCGGCGCACGTACCTGTCGGAAGCGCTTGAGGTGGAGGATGAGTATGTCGGGGAGGGTCCACAGGCTCATCTTCACCATGCCCTGCTGAAGCTGCTTGCAGTGCGGACACCTCCAGGCGTCATCCGGGGCGAGCTGGAATCAGCCCAAAGGACCCGTTTCACGGTTAAAGACATTTCTTAGTGTACTATAATGCATAAACATGTTAAGCGATGTTCAGGATGCAATTAGGGATTCTTGCTCTCTATCTTACTCTATTGTGCCGAGTGAGGACTCTACTGAGGATAAAGTGCAAAAGGTTCTCAATGACTAACCATTCCGGTCGAGAGCGAAGCCCTTTTGTTTTCGCAAAATCTGGCCTTTACCTTTTCTGTTGTTGCTATAGTTGCAAACATGGCTCCGTGGACTCATCGCCCCCCTTTTGAACTCCTTTGCCTCTCTTTTATAAAGTGTTATTTTATGATGTCAGGAAATTGGATTCCCTCGCTTCACACTGCTGAGTCATTCAACAGCACGTGATGCGTGGGCCTTATCGGCTCCATCCGTCAGCTCCCGAGAAGCCGCTTTCCTCAACTCTGCCACATCGATCGCTGAAATAAATACTCGCTCTGCTGTGATTCTGACAAGGGAGACGAGTGTCCCCGAAGGGCCTTTTATTACACGCGTGTCAAAGGGCGTGCACGCGCGAGAGAGAGAAAGACCAGCGCTACGAACGGACGTCCCAAATGCTTGGATTGTCGCTCTGTTTGCTCTCACTCGAGTCTCCCTCACAGTTCCTCTGACTTACGGAAATCGATGGCAGGAAGGTGTTATGTGAAGTGCCAACAGTAACTGATGTTGAAACAGCTGGATCCTTCTTTTTAGGCCCTTTTTCATCACCAACACCTTTCTCTTTCCGATGGAACAGGAAAGCATGAAAGAGAAGGATGTAATTGGTTGACGCTCAGCTAACTGCCGCAGAATTGAGACCAGCGCCACTTTAATTTGAAGCGTTTCCCGGCCGCCGCACAACGACAAGTGGCAGAATCTGACCATCTTTTAGTGGAATCGTGTTGTGATGGCATCACATATTGAGGTATTGTGATACACACTTTAGTTCATGAAAAACCTACAAAACTTAAATTTCCTTGAAAACATGTGAAATATTTCGAGGGAACATCACTTTTAAGACTTTACATTACGACAAGGCATTTAACAAATGTGTACATAACATACTAATAATATAATATCAATATATTAAGTGACCTAAGATTCAGGCCGTATCGCACAGCCCGGAACGCTTCGGGGTCCAACCTCTGGGATACCTGCTAATCCCCCTGCAAGCCCACCCCCGCCAAGCAAGATAAGCGATGGATGGATGGATGGATGGATGGATGGATGAATGGATGGATGAAATGATGCATGAATGGATGGTTGAATGGATGGATGGGTGGATGGATGGGTGGATGGATTAATGGATGGATAGATGGATGGTTGAATGAATGGATGGGTGGATGAATGAATGTATGGACGAATGGATGGTTGAATGAATGGCTGGATGGATGGATGGTTGAATGAATGGATGGGTGGATGAATGAATGTATGGACGAATGGATGGTTGAATGAATGGCTGGATGGATGGATGGTTGAATGAATGGATGGATAGGTGGATGGATGGATGGATTAACCCTGAACAGTTGGATGCTTGAATGCACGGACGGGTGGATGAATGACTGCACGTTGAATGAATGGATGGATGGATAGGTGGATTGATGGATGAATAGGTGGATGGATGGTTGAATGAATGGATGAATGGGTGGATGGATGGGTGGATGGATTAATGGATGGATGGTTGAATGGATCGATGGGTGGATGAATGAATGGATGTTGAATGAATGGGTGGTTGAATGAATGGATGAATGGGTGGATGAATGGATGAATATGTGGATGAATGGATGGGTGGGTGGATGAATGGATGAATGGATTTTCTTTCTCTTTGTGAAGTTTTCTCTACAATGCACTGGATGTATGAATGGGTGGATGAATGGAATGGTTGAATGAATGGATGGATGAATTGATGGTTGAATGAATGGATGAATGGAGGAATAGGTGGATGAATGGATGGATGGATGAATGGATTTTCTTTCTCTTTGGGAAGTTTTCTCTACAATGCACCAGTAAAGAAATACAAAGTCTTCAAACTATCTGATCCGTGCTCTGCAGCGTCACAGGGAATTCTCTCCATTTGTTACAAAATATAAAGAACAATTCTGGTAAAAGTATGATTAGGAGTTAAGGCTCGAGAAAGCTGATAGACGTCTAGAGACCAATAAGGTTCCTGTCACTTAGAACAGGAAGTGGACGTTTTAATAATAACTAATCATAGTTATTAATAGTACGTGATTAGAACAGATTTAAGTCACAACTTACTTTGAGTCATTCTACTACATTCATTTAATATTCTCACATTCTGTAATCTAGTTTTTTATATGACAAAATGCTTTGAGGCTTTGAGCCTTGAGCATACATCACAAACATTGAAACGAGCACAGCAACTTCGGAAGATTCAGGTGACTAATGTGGCTTTTAGCTGTAAGGTAACGATCCCGATTCTTTTCAATTGCAAGCTTCTACTTTTACGCCCAAACTTACATTGACTTATCTGATTCTTAAAGCTTCTTCTGGAGCAACAAAAAACGCTCTATGCTACTCTTTGGTCGCACATTTAGAGGTACTGTCCTACTCTTATCCAAGAAATAAAAATGTTGATTTCATCAACCGGTGTACCAATTCAACTCAAACTGTGTTATGAACAAAGCTAAAAGTAGCGAAAAACAACAACAACCAAAAGAAGGTTTGTGATGGACTTTTAGCAACAAAAGGCCCGATAAGATTTGACTATTTACGAACGCCACCGTTTGTTTCCTAGAGTTGTGCCGTCCTCCGTCTCACCTGCTCTTCTTTGGTATACAGCTGAAAGCACTCGTCCAACGTACAGCTGTGCTGCTGCAAGTGCTGCTGCTGCTGGTTCCTCACGCTCTCTGCGTCCTTGATCACCTCCTCCTGAATGCTGCCAAAGAGACTGGAGCACACACACACACACACACACACACACACACACACACACACACACACACACACACACACACACACACACACACACACACACACACACACACACACACACACACACACACACAGTTTATTCCTCTCGTTACAGCTGCCATCGTTTGATTGTATGGTGTCTTTTTTTCAGAATCAGCGGTCATTTATTGCCACGTATGTTACACATAAAGGAACTTGTCTTGGTGATCATAAGAATAGAATAGAAAATATATTATAGAAATATTAGTGCGTTAAAGCTTAAACTTATGGTGAGAAATCACTGTGCAAATGTCTGTTTCTTACGTTTGATTACAGCCCGTTAGAAGCTGAACGCTTACCACTCTTTGGTCTTATTGTTCCACTCAATGACAATCTTTACGTGAGCAGGTCCCCCGGGGCCGCAGAACTTCAGAGCTCTGCAATACAACAAGAGACCGGTTCTAATTCAATCGTATGAACATTTGCTGAGTTTAAGGCAAATGGTGAACGGAAAACTTCACACGTTCGAGAACAAGTACAATAGAATCCCACTGTGACAACCAAAACCTTCACAAACGAACAACGTCATTGGTAATCCATCAGCTGAGAGACAAAGTATATCCGTATTTCATTGAAGAACAGATATTAATCATTAAGCGAGAGAGGTCAAAATCGATTGGGCAACTGAGGCTGAAACCTCTGTGCTCTACGACAAATGACAGAACTGCTCTGGAGACAACAACACACACACACACACACGCAGAACGGCACCAGGGATAATAATTAGGGCCGTCCTGTACAGGTTAATAAGCAAAGTCTGATTTTGAGCCATTGTGGTGTGAAAAATAGTAGACGTGAAGTGTGTGATTTGTTCCTTGTCACGGTTTTGCTACTTTGAGAGCTTCCGGGTGTCTCGAGGTTTAGATAAGACGAGGGAGGACATGTTTTGCCTTTTTAGAATTCAATTAATTTTTGCAAAGCATCTGTATGCTTGATGGAGATTTCTAGCATGGATGCATATGGAATGTTTCTCCCTGAAATAGAACTTGCGTTGTTTTCTTGTTTACTGGGAAATCCGAGTACAAACCGAGCGCTATCGAGACATTCGAGGGAGGTCACAGGACCCCATTATGCAACACGGCGCTCTGAGGTACCACATCCTTTGACTACTAAAATGAATGCACTCGTGTTCTGCACAAATGGAACAATAATAAGTAGCTGGAGAATCTGGATAATAACAATGACAATAACCCAGAGGCCATCTTTACACTTTATGTGTTGGCTTCACCCGCACCTCAGAAATAAAAGTCCTTTAGTCCTTTACTTATCGGCACGTGGACCAATCCCCTCAGCTGTCGGCTCCTCATAATGCGGGAAGGAAAGGCAACCGATTATAACGCTCAGTTCCCCCGTAATCCTCTTAAGGGGCCATTTGCTCGTTAAATTGCTGCTTTTCGGTCTAATGCACAAAAAACTGTTCTGCACGAAGGTTTATGCAGGCGTCTCCATTACAGTTTGAAAGGCAGGGTCAGTAATTATCTCTGAGTTTTGGGAGTTGACATACTGCCACCGGGCTGCAGTAAGCTCGTCCAATCATCCCACTTGTCCCGCAGGTAACGAATATGCCCGTCTACCTGCTAACCGCCGCTTATTCCGCCCCGGCGCTCATCGTTAATCACCAAAGTCTCTCATAAACAGGCTAGCAACAAATAACCTGTGTGAGGTTCGCCGTGGTCGTTTTGGGGGCGTGGCTTCGCAGGAACGCCTGAAGGGAGGGGCTGTCAGCTAACGGTTCTGACGTTGGATCATTTAAAAGCTTCCAATAGGCTGCCAGGGTTATTTGTCTGTTAGTTTACTACACCGTGTGAATGTGCTTGGAGTACCAGCGATCCATCAATGTGGCACGGCCATTGAAATAGCTTTTAAATGCATATTAAATCATTATGAAGTGTGAGTACATCGCTTCTATCAAAGTGGTGTACATTAAATGGGCCCTTCTTGCACGTGTCTCTTTTCTAGTAAAAGCATTTAACACCACATGTCGTCAGTAAAACTATTCATACGCCGACGTCTGGCGCTACATACACGGGGCTTTCTGCCCGTAAGGACTTATTCATGAACGGCACCCAAGGACACACTGACAACCCTCATTAAAAGATCCTCTTGCGCACTCGCCCACAGTCGCCCAGCAGTAATCATTTTACTGAATGGAAATCTACGCCTTCATAAATGCGTTGGTGCCCCCGCAGAGAGTGTGTTCTGTATTTACATACTGTTTAGGTATGAGTTTGTGTGTGTGGAGAACAGAGAGGCGTTTTACTTGTGTGTGTGTGTGTGTGTGTGTGTGCGTGCGTGCGTGTGGGATGGTCCGACCTGTCGACCGCCGGGTGGGACAGCGGCCTGCTGTCGTGTGGGGACAGGTAGCTGTAGGCGGCTGATCCTCCCACCACCCGGATCTTGAACAGCACGCCGGCGTTCTGCAGGGATAGAAACACACATCCATAACAACATAAGAACGCCCTTCCTACACGCACACACACACACATAAACTTATGAGTCAATGATTAACAATGGACGAAAAATGTTTCCTCCATTTCAAATTCAAGGTAAACAAATGCTTATTTTTCCTTTATCTATGTTCAGACTCTATTGTAAGGGTCCACTTCAGAGACCTCGCTGCTATGACGGAAAGGGGTCGATGCATAAACTACTGTGTTTCTTTCTGCGGATGTCAGTCTACACGTAGCTAAATATCTATGACATTATCTCTTACACTCTTCATGAAGTGAAAATGGCAAACTGATCATAGACTAATGCAAACCCACAAGCAAGCTAGCAAGCAGCTACAGCAGCTGCACCGAACAGTATTTTAATCCAATTTATTCAACAGTTGAAAACAAGTCGGAAAGAAATCCAAGTTCTGTAAAGTCGACACCCTGCGTGTGCTGCCGTGGGAGGTGACCTGTGTGGCGTGTTCGCAGCGCTTCCACACCGCAACCACATTGGAAATAACACCCCCACATTCTGTAACGTAGAGGGATAAAGAGAAATGTCCCTGTAATGTTCTTATGGGAGAAACCGTTGCTTTTGTGTTCATAAGCTGTAATTATTTCCGATGCCTCGTTAATGCCACTTCAACCCGATCCTAGCTGTGTTATTATCCACATTCAACTGAAATGTTATAATCCCGTCTTAATCCCGTTATAATCCAGACTTTTATATGTTTTGAAGTGTAAACAGCCACTGAGCTCAATTATTATATCAATGACAGCGTTATCTTCCATTCAGCACTAATTAGCTGTATGTCAGTTTATATAATATATACTTTCAAAACAATATTGGCATAGTTATTCACATAATGAGATCTATGTTTATTGAAAGACAGTAACAATTTGATTGAATTATATAATGAAATTAACTATATTGAACTTGAAGTAGAGCGTCACAGTGCAAAGCATCTGCTGCCTTTTATTTTCCATCTCTGTCAACTTTATGGTGACGCAGGAAGCGCTCAATGTAGAACGGAGAGAAAGTATTGCAAAATGTGTCATTTAAAGCCTTCGGGAAGTAGGAGTGAATAAGTACTTTAGAGCAACAACTTCTTCGGCAATTGGTAATCAGTGCAGTCGAGGACAAACAACTGTCATTTTGTAACATCCCGTCCGTCCCTGTTTGATTTTCGTCACTAACCTCTCCTGTCATTTCATCTCCCGACCTTGTCCGACCCCACGCATACGTACTCCGCTGCTCTCTCTATTCTGCCTGCCATATTGTCTTTGTTCCACCCCGTGTGTTCATCACATATTCTGAGCTGAATGATGCAGGACGTGCATGTTACATCATCTGTGTGTCCCACGACCAGCCCGGCTGCCTCCCGGTTCCTGGAATCAGGCTGCTAATGCGTCCCTCCTGAGCGGCCCGATGTCGGAGGGCGGCGACTGCAGCCGTGCATAACGAGAAACCCATCGGCGGCTTATTAGGAGACTGAGGCAGCAAATGAAAGGGGAATAGCCTCTCTTTTCAGATGGTCTGTCTCTCTAATGGACTAGAATGCGGAGGAGGAATCATAAAATTTAAATCCATAAAAGAGAGACTTACAAGCAGTTGCTACCCGCAGGCCATTAGCTCCCTCACAAGAACACCCCCCGCCCCCGCCACTCCATGTCACCAATTCCACGTGCAATATTTGCAATAAACACATGCTGTGCTTTGGCCGAATGCCTAATGCATATGCATGTATTTTTCTCTTCTAGTGTGTTATTAAATTATACAAATATATAAGAATTTCATTGAAGAGAGTAAGTTGGTAACTGTACACGACAAGAAATATCGTGAACCTTGCATTTGAAAGAACTTAATTGGGGATTTAAGAGCTTCGACAAGATGATCTGCATTAAGTGACAGTCATCACCAGTGAGGATTTTGAGCAGTTCTGGAAATCAAAACTAAACCTAGGGGTCTTTTGACTGAAAATCCCATTAAGCAAAGCCTTCTTATCCGGAAGTAGAAATATGCACCACAATTTTGAGTGTAACTGATTTCCTAGAGCTGCTCTTCTCCCATGCCCATGTGAAAATAGGAATGGGCGTAGACTCAAACACGGTTTATGGTAACAGGATTTCTTTTCAGCCGTGACTGACTGATAACAGCACTGTTTACGCGTCCGGGGAACGCAGTAAGGAGGCCAATTGTTTTTTAAAGGCTTTAGAAATAAAGAGATCTTACATTTTTTCCATTTAATTTGTCAGCGCTCGTTTACAGGATAGTTAAGCGTTGTTTCTTTATAACTCAGGAAGTAGCAAATCGATACGATGAGGCATGGAGCGTGACTTGTGTTTGTCTGTTCTGGGCTCCTGCAGAAAACAAAGCAACACGGCGGACTCTGTGAAGACGACCCGCTCCGTGTGTAGTCATGTTAAAGGTTGATTATGCAGAAAAGAAAACATTTATTTTATACTCCATTTCTGCCAGTAGATCCCCTCAATGCAAACCCACTGTTCCTTCAAGCGGCAGTAAGCATCCCATGTGAAAACACGTGCCGGTAAACCAGTAAGGACAAATGTTACCACGAGAGTTTTAGAGTCTTGCAAAATCTATGCATGTTAATAACTTTTGTAGGTTATTTCATCATCAATATAAAATTTAAATCCAGGTTTTTGAAAGAACTTCAGCAGGTGATCAATAACTCCTCATAAATAACAGAAATATCCAGCACTCGAATGGATTTATTATTCAGTAAAAGATGTGAGATGATTTCTAAACCCTGTAAAATTGCTTCCGGAAATGTTTCACCTCGTAACGTCATCAAGCTGCAGTGGTGTGGGCTCATAACGCACGTCAAAGCAAGCAAAAGAGCTTCTCTGTTCATTATGTTTTACAGCCTCTCCGCCAGGTGTGACATTTGGCACAGACCACACGGCGCTCAGCCGGCCAGTCTTATTCAGCCAAACGCCTCTTTGTACATTAGAGCGGGGAAAGACGAGCAGGACATCTGAACTTCCACTCCGACAGGTGAGTTGTATTTTGCTGAATAAACCTGCGGGTGGCGCCAGAGCCTCTCACCAGGAAGAAGTAATGTCAGCAAAGTATCTGCACACTTCTTCCAGGAAGGGAGAACACAAACGGCACAGTTGTTGTTGTATTGTATTTTTCGGCAGAAAAAAAATGTTCAGTTTATTCTACCCTGATGGTTGTGATGTTACATAAAGAAAATGGGCGGCAAGGTCAATGGGAAGTTCCTAAATCTGCACAAACTAACTGAAACTCGCAGGAAGTGCTGTGTACTCGCGAATGTAGCAGAAGTAGAACACATTTTCAAATCATACAATTTAAATCTCCGGATTGGTGTTATTTGAATATGAGTGGACGGTGACATAATTAATGTACGCTCTGAACCTAAAACCATCATCATGCTCTCATGAAAGGCTGGGATTGTGTCCCGAGGTGCACTCTGTCAATAATTGCTGTGTCTGGAGAATGAACTACGAGACAATAGAATGGAATTGTAATAACCAGGTGTGAGGACCATATATTCATAGTAGGTACTTCCTCATAAGGCGATCACAGCACTGTCCACCATGGCCCGACCTAAACTTCAACCTCCGGGACTCCAACAGTTAAGCAGGACAACTCTTTTTTACAGTCGTTCAGCTTGAAGTTTAACTCCAAACATTTGCACACAGACAATGACAACTAATTAATCCAAACACAGAACCCAAGCGTAATGACATTGATTAAAACAAAGCGCTGCTCTGCGGTGCTATTTTAATTTGCTGCACTCGAGTTGATGGCGTAATAGAGTGGATGATGTGCTTTTTTGAGGTGGGGGGTGGTGGGGGGGTGGGGGACTATTACCTGAGCCTGGGATCCATTCAGCATCAGATAATAGAGCTTGCTGAGGAGACTCTGCTGCAGCTGGTCCCAGGAGACGCTCCTGTCCTCGCGCATGAGGAATGGAGGTCCAAACCTGGGGGAGGAGGGTGACAGAACATTTTAAACACCCGGCTATGTCACTCACATTAGAAAAAGTCCATTATTTTCAATAGAAACTTGTTCCCGGGGGTAGAATTGCGCCGTCGCTGCATCCTGTGAGCTTCAAGGCTTGAAGTGGTTCGTTATGCCGCCTCAGGGGCCAAATGAACGGGAGGACCATGGATGCCTCGTAGTGGCCTCCGTGTCTCTGGGTTGGCTCGAGGGCGAGTGCACAACAGGCGCTTCATCGGAGGCTTTTACACACAAGGATGATCGCAGACGCTGCTGGGCGTTGGTCGAGTATTTCGGGATCTCTCACGGGGTTAGTTAGACACACATGGGCGAAGATCAAAGTCCCGGGGTTCACGCACGTAAACAACAAACACGCAAAGACACGGCACTTTACTGCTGCAGGTACACTTAGGCTCAACGAACCGTGCACTAGATTCCATCTTCTAGAAGTCTAGAAGGTTTTAGAGACACGTTGAGTCCTCCTAGCAGGAGCCTAGGAGCCTTGGTTTCTCTGTATAATAATTGCAAGAATTAGCCAAGACCAATGAACGAGTTTAGAGAACTCCAACAGCTAAAACATACAATGACGTTTCCTGTTTCAACATGAGCACAGAGAAAATAAAAGTAGAGCTATTTGATCCAGTCGTACAGACAATGAGAGCCACCAGGTGAGCTGTTGTTTGATTTAGCTGACGGATGCAGAACAAAGAGAGACCCGGGTGCTCACAGCCGTATACACATGAGTCATGTGGACAAATGTCACGTTCTGACATTATCAGGCTTTTCGCAGCGTGTTGTCAGACGTGTTGACTGAAACTGGATGACAATTGGTTTATTGAGCACACAGAGCGTCACAGAGCTGTGACGATGGTGACGGGGAGGTTTTCAAAGCGCCTCGGCATCAGAGGGTTGATGCTACTGCGATTCCACCAGGCTCTCTGATGGACACCGTCCACCCCGGGTCACATGAACACTCTCATCAGAATGTCTCCAGCGGCTCACTAGATACGGAGCAACTGGATGGAGCTGCGACACACGGCGACCGATGGAACCAGAACTGCCACAGTCGCGTCTCTTTACTGTCAGCGCTCGGCAGACTGGCGGCTGAAGCAGCGCGGCGTGAATAAACCCAGACCCGTGAGTTTACATGGCGGCGGGCGGCCTGCAGCTCACCTGACGGCCTGCTGGCCAGATCCCGCTGTGTTGCAGACGAGGAGGAGGACCTTGGTGGAGCCGCCCTGGTTGAGGTATTCTGAGGACAGCGTGCCAGACGAAGGCAGCTTCAGAGCGCCGGGTCCGGGCGCGGAGGTGTAGGGGGAGGAGGGGAGGCTGTGGTGATACCCTGTCAGGAACAGAGGAGGGCAGAACTGTTCATGAAAGCTGAAGAAGGAGAAGAAGCAATACCTTCTAGACAAAACTAATCCAGATCCCAGCTGCTGCTGCTCCTGTGTGCGAAAAAAAGCTCATTTAAATTAGTGCTTCGAAACCTGTTGCTGTTAAGAATAAAAATCCAAATCCTCCTCTCCATTATTTGAAATGCGGTCGGCTTTGGGCAGATGCTTCCTCCCTTTCTGCTGCTTTATCCCGAATACCGTCACGTGTAGCGGCCTCCTCCGTCGCAGTGGACAAACTCAGCGACGGAGGAAGCTGCCGTACGGTGACGTCTGGACCCAAAAATCGGATTTCACCACATGCAATACGAACTAATGACAACATTGTACATGTACAGTATACATGTACTTACATGTATTCTTAGAAGTATCTAGGAATATACAAATGTCTGTTTATTCTTTTTGTATGCCAGAAGTGTGACACGTTTACACTGAAAACATTCATGTTGAATTGCCTTTGATTCTTGTTTGATTGATTCCTGAAGAGCTGTGAGATGAATTACACGCTACACGCACGCTGTGATTGATCGCAGATAACAGCCGAGCGGATGCAGAAGGCCCAACGCGACTCCCAGCGAACATAAACTTTGACATTATTAAAGGATTTAATTAAACAATGCTGGTACGAACCCCACGGAGCAATTAATCACTGCCACTTTGCAACACGACACATACAACAAACCTCAACATGGACACAGGAGAGCAAAGTGTGAATAGATGTAAAGTTCATTCACAGAAAAGGGTTGAGTCAAAGCATTTTTGCTTCATAAAACGTGTTCGTCCAACTGGAAGCTCAGTCAGAAATGCGAGTATTAGTAGAAGATTAAGAAAATGAAAGGGCTGACTGTTAAAACAAGCTCAGATAATGAAGAAAAGAAAAAGCTGAGACTAATGTTTGTGTCGACTGCCACTAAATGACTCTGTGTTTAGCAGACAGGAGCAACTCGATGTGACATTTTATGCATATTGCTGCCCTTTGAACAACCAATTCATCTCCTCGCGCTGGGTTGACCCCCACTCCCCCTAATATATTAAACACTGACTCCTCAAAATGACTGTAATGAGTGTAGTTTGACAGTTAAGGAAAGTAATAATAACAAGATTACACTCAACATAATGATTAAGGTCAAGAGAAGAATGCTATTTCAGTTCAATGTCAGAGGTGCAATGTGTAAGGACAGAATTGCTTAAAAACCTAAAGAACTGACGTCATCAACAGGAGCTGAGCAGGTTGCAGAGACTTCTACTGCTCTGTGATACCACCTGCACTTCGAGAGGCGATAGAGAGTCACGATATCGCGGCCTGTCCTCAGTTCAACACGAGCAGTAGATGAGCTGAGAAGTTCAAAGGCCGGGCCTCCGTGTGCCTTTTGATCTTTTTGTTTGTGGCAGAAATGAGAAGTTGACTCAGATCTTCATATCTTCCTCCTTCCTGCTTCGCTGTCAGGAGACTCCTTCAGTAACATTGAATGCCAAAACAGAACCATACAAAACAAAAAGCTGATGAAACTCTTCGCACAGCTCGCAAACTCGACAGACATGTTCACCGACAAGGTTTCCTAATGTGGAATGAACACGGAATATCCAGCACACAGGCGTATTTTAACAGCGCTCAGCATTTTATTCTATTTAATGTTTCTTACTATCTGGACCTTGAGTCAGTTTGAAAATCAAAAACAAAGTTTGATTCCGGGCCGGTTTCAAAAGTAACATATTGTGCACAATGAGGGGCGCGACTTGGCCCCAACACGTCCCGCGGTTTGATTCTCACCTCCTTCCTCCCTCCCTCCCTCCCTCCCTCCCTCCCTCCTTCCCTTTCTCCCTCCCTCCCTGAAGCACAGCAGGACGCGCCGCGGACTGAGAGAGCTGCCAGCTAGCTGGAGACAAGAAAGGTGAGACTGGGAAGTGAGAATAAGAGTTCTCCCGCGGGCAGAAGGAAAAGAGACGAGATGCCAATAATGATAAATTAAAAGTACGCGAGAGGGAGAGAAGATTGATGTAACGATCTATTGAACCATTTGTTGTTTTGTTCATTTGTTGCCGTGGTAATCTGTTTATGGTCTGCCATTTTTAATTAAAAGATAAACACAAAGACGGAAGGAGAAAGACACTTGAGATTGGACGTGGCGAGCATTAAACAGCTCAGCCCTGAAGAACACACCACACTTCATGTGGCGATCGCTCGCCTCTCCCCATCCTCCCTTTGCAATGTCACCCGTCTCTCTTGCTGGTACTCTATTCATCAGTGCTTTGTAAATGTGCAACGGATTGCAAAATAGTCAGACTTATACAGACGTGGACAATTCACTTATTTTATGTATATTTTGACCGTTCCATTTATCATTGGTAATCTAAACTATTTAGTAACATTAAGGAAAAGATCTGTTAAAATAAGTATGTTTTTTAGGTAACGTAGTTAAATATGCTACTTTAAATAATTCTTAACATTACCTGACTTCACTTCCTGGTTGGCTCCCCCGTCACCATGGCTACCAATAGAGCTCACTGACTAACAACAGGCTGCTGGCGCGGACAACCCGAGGACGGATTACTCATGCGGCCTCATTGATAACCGCATCACTTAGCAGTGAGCGCTTCATGGTCCCATTTCTCTTTTCAGCCTTCATGTAACCAGACAGTCACATTCAGCTGCTGCACCGGAGGGAAAAGTCTTTCTACACTGATCTCATCTCTTCCAGACAGAAAAATAGCACGAGTTGTGGAGCACGGAACCAAGAGCACAAAAACACCGGGAGGGGCGCTGCTCCCAGGAGGTTGAGCACCGTATGAGTGACCTCCGTCCGTAGCGTCCACACACCTGGCTACCTGGATACCCCCTGGGGGAGTGTTGGGTTTAACCCCAAACCAATCAGTGGTCAGGGGCAGCGGGCAGCCGTCCGACCACAAACGCTGCCGCTCACAGCGAAGCACCTGAGCTTCCTGCCCACAGCAACAACACATTTGGGAGGAACTGGAATACACCTGGTGCCGCCTCTCCAACATGGTCCCTCATCTTTCTTCGTCCCTTTTCTCCCCCTGTAGTCCCGCAACTACACACCGTTCACACACCTTGGTATTTGTTTCATTGTGTACAGTGCTGCACATTTGTGGTATTAATATCTATCAATAAATACAAATAAATCATTTCAGCTTTGTTGCAGAACCAAATACAAGGTTACAATCAAAGGTTTCTGAGGCACAAAACAGAAAAGGGCTCTCGGGTCAACGGTAGAAAAACAGAGTTCCCCGTCTTGCCGCCGGGTTCACTGGAACACAATTAAGCCGTTGGGCCTTTTGTGGCGCAGGTTCACTTCCGAAAGGCTCGTGGGTTAGAGGAAGCTTCTCCCCGACGCAGCTGAGTCGAGCGTCGCTGTTATTTCCCCCGATGATCTGAGAACACGTTCCAGAGGCGCAGACGTTTCTCCTTAGGTTATTCTAAATGATGAAATACTACCGCGGGGGGGGGGGCAGAGTTCCCCTGTGAGTGTCCCTGGCACATGCTTGCTTCTAGCTGCGGGCGGCCGGTAATGGCCTTCATGGAAGCGTGCGCAGTGTTTGCTCTGCAAGGGTTTCGTTTTGCACACGTGTTGCATTTTGTCGACGACTTTGAGATCGAGACACATCGTAGGTCCTTTGTGCTCCCAAAGCCGGGCTTCCTGCTGCAAGACAACACATCATTGTCCCAGTATTTTCACGGGTTACCAGAAACACGACCCCCCCAAATGAATGGTAATGTCATTCGCTTGTATGTGTAAACAAAAAGCTGCTTGCACAAATTCCCTACAATAACTTAAGAGGCGATGATGCAGTGGCTGAGCTGTCTAGGTATCCAATGCACGGACAGCATCTTCCACATTGGTTTACATTCAACACTGTATGTGTAGATGAGGAGAACGCGAGGGAATGAAAGAAAGACTAAATCTGAATTAAGAAATGTTAGCACCTGTCCCCAGAATCCTCTTTAAACATCATCAAACACTTCACCTCTCTCTCTCTCTCTCTCTCTCTCTCTCTCTCTCTCTCTCTCTCTCTCTCCACAAGTGTGTCTCTATCCGTGCAGGCAGCTCCCACAATCCACTCTGCTCAAATCTTGATTGACTTCCCCATTATCGGAGACCGTAACTGTTTAACTCAGAGGGCACCAAGTGAGCATCACACAAAGTTGGCCCGCTTTGCCTCCCTGAGCTTCTATTCAGTGGAAAGTAAGTCTCTTTTTTTTCTGTGCAGCAATATGGAGCCTTTTGACTCCATTTAAGTACAAATTGCCTGGATGCTACCGTGGCGCTGAGGACCTAATTGATTTCAGTGTTTTTTCAGATCTCCTGCCGCCATTTCGTCTAAATGCAAAACTTGCTTTTCAGCTGCGGTGATTCAGTGTCCCGGGTTGTGACCATGGGGAACACGCTGCATGAAACAAAGCCTCCGCAGGATCACTGCAATTCATTTACTCAACCGTTAGGTCTAAATAAGCTAAACTTTTGTTTGGACCAGCAGTCATTTGTCCATTTCCACGCTAAAGGTCAAAGCGATTGATCCTAAAATGGAAATGGCTAAACCTCTCAAAGTAACTCACACATCAATACAAAGTAACAACACCTCAAGAAGTTTTTCTACGACTACGAGCTTTTCCCCACAGTTACCCGTCATTGCAGCACTGGGCTTTCGCTTTTTTTTTCACCAAGGCTGCACAAAGAAACTCACACGATAGACCGCGTCGACACCTGTAGCTGAAGGGTTGTTTAGTCTGAGAGACCTCTGCACAGCCCGACATGTGTGTAAAACACACAAACACACCCACACGTCTGCCCCGTGTGTCTTTATGTAACAGTTTTATATATTTAAAGTAGAGTGACTACAGTGTATTGGCAAATTGAGACCGCCTTAAGACCCGGAGCAATTAAGAGTCTTGCATAACCTCAGTAACCATAGTAACACGCTTTCTGCTTCAAACCAATATGGCTGCTTGTAGTTTAGATCTTTTCCAAACAGTGGTGTTTTATTGTCGTAGTTATTGAAATTGGTGCGAAGCCGGATCGGACTTGCTCAGGCTATAAATGTTCCATCCATCACCTTTTATCATGCATGGGCCTCAGCTGCGTAATTCCACATGCAACATTCCACTAAAAGTGACATAAATCCCACTGATAGAAGTTGTGATATCCTGGAATCTGGTCTGCTGTGACCGCATGAATTATTCCGAGGCATGGACCGTTCATCATTTTTCCTCAGATAGCTCGTGAGTACTGCAGATGCATTTCCCAGCGAAGGCGCCTGAGTGTGAGTCCTTACAAGTGTACTCCTGCGCTTGTGTGTGTGTCCTCTCGAGGGTCATGCGTGTATATGCGACTCCCCGGTGTAACTCTAATGGATTCATTACCCGTGTTGGTTTTTCGCTCATGCACGCCTCTTTCCGTGTGTGAAATCAAACCGCATGTGACACCGTTTGTAACAGTGTGAACGGCAAACAGAAACGCCTCCTAATGAGAAAGTGAAGAGTCTTCATATTTCATGTGCACTTTGAGCACGTGTGAATTATTGAAGGCATTCTTCTTCTGGGACAACCAAGCCCCCAAATCCTTCCCCGCTGTGAAAGCTTCAATGGACGAAGGCCAACCACATCTCCCTCAACCCGGCAACCGAGGGAGCCGTCAATTAATGACCTCACGCCGAACATCAATCTGTTGAAGTAATCGCTGGCTGATAAAAGGACCTTCGGCTCTCCATTTCCTCTGAGGCCGGAGGGATCCTTTGACTGAGAACATAAGCGAGTGGAGGGTGATGCCGTGAACAGGAAAGAGCGTTCACATCGGCAGCCTGAGGGATTCAAATCATAACAACTTTTAACTCCATCCACAGCGAGAGGACCGAACTGTGTTATTTTTCCATTTCACTGACACTCTTCTGACTCGCTCACCTGCCGGCGTCACAACAAGGTTGTTACTGTGATTAAAACTGGCTCGTCCAGAGAATCTCCCGCCTGAAGTGGTTGGATATACATCTTTAAATGCTGCTTAAATTAGGATGCAATTTAATACGCGTTACGATCATTTGTTTCAAAAAATGAAATACTGATGAAAAGTACTTTTTAGTAATTTCCAGCAGAATATAAAACAATGATTCCTCAGGGCTGAATAGAATAATACAACCTGGATTGAGGTAAACCAGAGAAAACAGATGGATCATCCCTCATATGCGTATTTCCTAAATGTCATTGTCCACGTTGGTTCAATCCAAGAAGCTGATGTTGTAAAACACAACCTTCACCACAGATGGACAATATGGATGAAACGGATGCCGAAATAATTCCATTAATATGTCGGCTTTCAGCAAACATGTTTTGTGCACTTAGCGCCCAAATGTGCTCCATTGAAACACATCTCTTTAGATACTAAGGCTTTAACAATTCAAACATGAGGTGCATCTCTCATGAGGGCCTCGTTCGGCCTTTTTGCTCTACAAAGCAGAACGTGAGTTAGTTGTCATTATACTGTCAATAATCATGTGTGCATCAGACTGTGCGACACAACGCAAATCATCTATAAAGACAACCAAGAGCGGGTGGCCCAACAAAGATCCTTGAGGAACTACACAGGTTCCCGGTGACCAGCGTGAACTGCTGTTTACTGCCACCTACCATTTCCAGGAAAGAGTATTTCATCCAGTCTGTTACTCATCCATGCAAAATGATTTGAGAACATCTTTGGAAGATTTTTGGATATATCTATTTACCGGTATACACAATCGACCAACTGCCTTTTATCCACTTTTCTGGTAAGTGCTTGCACGGCTGCACTGATTTTTGCATTTCTAACTAATGATGCATTGCGTTTATACGTAATGTTTTTAATGAGTATTCATGTAATACTGTAAGATGTGCAGCAAAAACACAAGCCAACTCCCCTCTGCGTGTCGTGCGTCCAGCCCTGGCGAATAGATTTTCTGTAAAAGCAGTTTTCAATCTCATCAGAAAGCTCTTTGTTTTCTTCATGAACCGAATAACAAAAAGGGAAGCAAGCGCATGAACAATTTTACCTTTAACACCTGCGGTTTTCGTCTAGATGGTTCTTACGAGCCAAAAACCGGATAACTCCCCAGCACTCGTGACAAATTATTCATTCGTAGGAGCTCATCCGGGTGAGACCATACTCATACCTACTTACTCATTCAGGAGTGAGTGTGTTTGGGTGAAATCACGCATGAAGAGACGGAACAAAAAGGAGGAATGAAAATCCCAGTGCAGAGTCAGCATAAATACACAAGGGCCACAGCAAAAAGAGAGAATTCGAAGTGTGGGAAATAAAATGGGGTAAAGAAGTCAGTGTGGTCCATGGTTTTGATGGACAGCATGTTGCCATAGTTACCTGAGTGTGGTACGGAGCCTCCACGGCTGTGTGGGGGAGGAGCCTGAAAGGCGTAAATGACGTCGCTATCAGTGATCGCTGTCAGGTCATCATCATCTGCAAAGGAACGCTGGAAACCCGTAGAGTACAACTCTGAAAGGATGACCTGCGACCGACAGAGAAAAAGATATTAAGATACAAATTCAAAGCCGAAATATTCGCAATGGGAGTGATACGTTTTCATGTTTTCATGAGTCCAGACAGCCAAATAAAAGCATTTGCATTAAGTGAGGAGAGCAATGTAATGCACACTGATGAATATTTTGTACTTATAACTATTTAAGGTGGAGGGCTTTTTTCTATTTATTTATTTGTGTTTCAAAATACTGAATGGACGGCAGATGTCTTGTTAAACGATACTTAAGTACAGAAAATGTGTGAAAGGATTATTAAAATGCAGGCAATCAAATCTACTGCACTTAAGTAGTCAAGTCAAACTGTTACCGAGCAATGGGTTCAATTGACTTATATGGATATTCATAACTTATATATATACTGTATATGATAAGGGGACAGTCTTTGGCCCGAATTAATCAGTGTGTGTTTTGATGTAAGTTTATAGGAATAAAAGCAAAACCAGAACAGGGGACAAAGCTGTAAATGTTTCCACTACTGCAGCAAAATGAACAGAAAGTGGGGGATGTTGATTAATCACAATGTCCAGACACAGCCTGAGAAGAGTCCGTATGTGAAAGGCCTCTGTAGACCGTGGGGCCGCGGGTAGGAGGTTAGCAGCTAAATCTCACTCTTTGAACTGAAAGTAATTTCCTTATTGGGAAACCAGTGAAGTGTGTAAGAATACGTGTTCAAGAATTGGAGCCTGGTTGGGGTTATCAAAAATTCAGCCGAACTCTCGTTCTGGGAGATTTACTGGTCAGATCACAGGTCAAGTATCAGCGCTGCGTTTGCAAAGGCAGGAGCAGTTCAGGCAGCACACAGGCCAGAAGAACAACTAACTAACATCAGAAAGAACATCATGTTTTATAACCCTTGAAAGACAGAGAAGGAAAGATTTCTATTGGCCCTAAACTGGCGTAGAGGAGGACCTTCCACCCCCCGCATCTAAAGATCCGGTCACATCCAATGTCCGGACTCCTGACTTAACGTAAACATTGACGAACAGAGTGTGTATGTTGAACAGTGTTGGTGTGTCTCTAACCCCCCTTTGGCTGGTAAATCTACCAGTTGACCCGCAGACCTTGCATTCCTCAGCCAGGACATAAACTGACTCCCCATCCTGTCAGACTCGTGTCTGCCTGCTCGGCCCATCCTGCTTCCCCCCTTACCTAACTCTTAAATCAAGACAAGACAGCGAACCCCCAACTAAGCCCATGAAAAGAACTTTTGATTATCAAGTGGCAAACAAAACAAACAGGGCCAAAAAAGGGAGAAAATTAAGAAAATTAAGCTAAATCAAGTTTTTTTTACATTTAACCATATTATATTTGACAAACTGCTTTTTGTTTTGTTTGTCAATGGCTGAAGGAAACCGTTTCTCTCCATGTGTGCAGTCTCTCCCTCTGCTTTGAGTTTAAGTTAACATTAACCTAACCGGCTCTAGTTTGAGCTTTGTTTGGCATCACACTGTGACGTTATTGTGAAGTGAGCTGTAAAATGATCAAAACAACAGAGCTAAGCAGCCAATACTCATTTTTAGATACTAGAACCATCAAATGTTTGGCATCTTAATGCAAAAAAGTCATTGATATATATGATCCACCCACACAGGTTTGTATACTTATTGAACCAGATTTGAGTACTGTGAGTGTGCGCACAGCTCGACCCCCATCGACCCCCCCAAGAGCAGACGTCCTTGTGTGTGTGTGTGGTTATTTCTGTACCTGGTCTGGGGAGATGTTGCCCTCCTGTGCCACCATGGCTCTCAGGCAGGACAGGGAACCCAGGAGGGGTACAGCCAGCCCCACGCGCAGGTACCTGTGACCCTTCGTCGTGAATACCAGCGTCACACACATCGGCCTGCGGGGCGCCAAAGGGAAGAAGCGTGAGGAGGTGCATGAACGCAGGTGCATTTGTGTGTGTAAGGGATGGAGGGGCAGGAAGACAGAGAGGAAGATGAATCATACCGAGCAAAGTGCCAAATTGTTTTGCAATTCTGATTTTGCATGTTTACATTTATTACCAATTCCAAACACACCCGGGCAAGTCATTAACATATTGGTATGCAGACACACGCGCACACATATTGATACAAGCGTACTGTTTAGAGATCCACACATCAACCATTAACCAGGATGCCTGGGGGCAACATTCACTCTGTTGTCAGTTTGAGTGTTGAGTCTTTATGTATTGCATGTGCTTAACAGCTCAACAAAACATTCGATAGAAGGAGGCTTTGAGATGCGCTGTTGAGCCTTTTCAGTTCTAATACGATCTGGGAAAAGATTTCCTGTACGAAATCAAATTTCCTGAGCATAAACCATCTCTTTTTATTCAGAACTGAATGAAATATTTTACAGCTTTGTCTTTAGTGTTTTGTTTCCCCCTTGCGTGTGACTACACATGACGAGCACTTTGGGGACGAGGAAACCCGTCTTTCAGGGAGGAAGATTTGTCAAATGATGGAGGGATGAGAGGACACGGAGGAGAGCAGGTTGCAGACGGAGCGGGAAGACGAAGTATGGTCACGCCTTCTCCATGTGGGAAGCAGACGGGCGTAACCGCTGGCGCCTCCGTTTCCTGTTTCCCATCATGAGTTATTCAGGTGCGTAATGGTGGCAGACGGCAGAGGATCTGAGGAATATGTTTTGTTTGCGTTGTTAGATGCAACGCGATGAGATACCGAGATGTGTAATGAAAGGGATGAAGGGTGTAGGATGATACTCGAGAGGATGGATTTTTTTTTGGGGTGGGGGGGTAAGTATTTTTGCAGTGAAGAGATCTGAATATATACTTTTTATTATTCAAACCCCTTACACCAACTCTGAGGAAAAACCAATGTACTGAACCTATTGACATGATCTTTGCTGCATTAAAAACCTTAGAAAACCTTTTTAAAGAGCGTGTGACTCCTAAAGAAGTGCTTTACAGTTTACAAAAGGAAATCGGTGCAGCAGAACCAGATCATCGTTTATTCCATGCATTCTTCAGCCTTTACCTGACCTGCCTTCTACATCACTCATGGTGCCATTTGATCGTTTTTAGAAAAGAAAGAAGGACTCTAGTGCTGCTACCAGCTGTGCATGAGTTAGATGAGGAGAAAACACTCAGAGATACTGCCTACTCTTCTCTCAGCCATCCCAGCATTATCTGCAGCACCCAGACCTCGATGCCCCACTGCCAGCCAGACCCTGCTGAGTCTCTGGGGGCCCCGAGACCCGAGACCAGGCATTCTGCTGGGATACTGCTGCCGCAGGACAATGCAATGAGGCCACTGTGTGTATGTGTGTGTGTGTGTGTGTGTGTGTGTGTCTGTGGGGGGCGGGCAGACCACACACGGTCAGAGAAATGGGGTTGTGAAAGTCATTTGTGCGGAGCGGAAGCTGATTTGCGACGTTTGAACGTTTGAAGATAGAGGGATTCACTGAACACTGGATGTAGGGAAATTGTGATATTTGTTCCTCTTCTTTCTTATGCACATGGGGGAGACAGAGAGAAAGAGAAAGGGGCTAACATATGACTAACCGAGGATGTTGTGCTTACCCAGCATGCCTCGTTCCACTGGTTTTTCAGGCCCTGTTTTAGTTATTTCAGGTGATTAGACGTCTATTTAGGTTGACGTAAGGTTGAAGCTGGGGATGCCCCGAGAACTGGTACCAAGACGATTTCTTAAAACATGAGGACGAGTTTCTGTGGCACGGCAGGTATCGATGATCGGGGGGGTTAAAATCCAACACGGACGCACTCTCATTCCTGATAGTGCTGCATTGCATACAGACTCAAACCGGCACAAATGACACTATAAGCAATTCTGTGTTATACATCACCTGGTTTGTCGCAGGGGAATGGGCAGGGAAATGCATGAAAATGGGTCGAAGGTGTTGCTCTGCTTAAGGCAATGAGGGCACGTCAGAGAAGACCTGAAAAACAAACAAAAAGAGCAATTTTAATGCTCTTGTTCTACACGACCTCCGTTCAACGTGCACTCTGGGTTCTGATCACTCCTGAAATAAACATTACATATTTTTCACGCTATTTTCCAAATTGGATGATGCGTCGGCCAATCCGGTCACATGGATCACATTCATTAGTGGAAAAAGCAGCTCTTTTCACTTTATTTCGACAGCGTTGGACAGATGGATCGACAGATATTGCCCGTCCCTGCATGCCAAATCTTCACATCGCCTCTTAAGTCGTATGAGGATTTTTTTTGCATGAACCGTGGTGAATACTCACACACAGAATCCGGCCATCTGGACTCAATCTGCTGTTGAGGAAAGTGCTGCAAAGCAACATAGGGGGGATACTGTAATATTTTGCGCCGAAAGTGTAGTTGGGCATTTGAGACACTGCTGAAGCAGCTGCTACTGCCAAAAAAAAGCCTCTATCCTCAAGAACACAAGAAGATGAGTGTGGAGAGAGAAGAAAGCACAGAGGAAAGGTGAAGGATGAAAGGTGGATGGGATATTTAAAGGCACCCAGGGCAGCGGAGAGAAACTGTTGCTGAAAGCTGAAAGGAACAAAGATGACTTTGACTGAAAGGAGGGGTTGCATGCGGCGGAGGAAGCTAAAGAGCAGAGACAGAGATGAAGAGGAAGACAACAAGGTGCTGGGCTCCGTGGGAGCAGATGCAAAATGAACACAAGACTGGCAGCAGCACAGACGGGTTGACAAAGACTAAAAAGAAAAAAAGGTACAGACCGGACCCGAAAGGTCAAACAGATTTTCAAACTAAATGGAATGACTGTACTCTGTAACTCAGGTGTTAATTATAATGTTGACATTTCTTACCATATCTGGCGCGCTTTTCATGAAAATACCTCAAACCGCGTGTTTTAAATCAGCCCCGCGGGGCCACGGAGACGGCCGGGTTTGGCTGTGTGGAAATCCGTCACATTCAGTACTCTGTGCCATATTGCCATTCTCCGAGCTACATTAGTGCTGCCCCGAGGCTTTCGTCACAAAGAACACTGAGCCCCTCTCCCTCTTTTTAAAATTGTACAGTGGTATAGTTACACTTTAAACGGGCCGTGTCATTTTAGAGGGTTTGCATGTCATTTCTCGACTAGATGCAGTGTACTAATTCCATTTTTTTTTTTAATTAAAAAAGCGAAATACTAATCTGTTAAAATCAGAGGGGTCTGTAGGTGGATTTTGAAATGAGCACAAATGATTAACTTTTCCCTTTAGACATATATTGCACCATTGGTTATCCAAAAGGATAACAAGGTATCTGGTTTTTGCTACACAACTTTTTTCGGTGGGCGACCCAGGTGCCCTTAAGCTCTTATGTGTGTCATAACGGACCGAGCAACATCTGTGTATCCGAGTCTCAGCGCTTTTCACTGCACACTACCAGGGTCCCTCAAAGGGTAGTGTGCTGGCAACGGGCAGTAGTAGCAGTCTGATACTACAATAGTGTGTAAACGGGTAAGCTATGACTGCAATTCCTGGTGTGTGTGAGTGTGTGTGTGTGTGTGTGTGCGTGTGATGCCTCTGCTTTTATCTTTACAAACCGACGCCAGACCTCAAATAACCGGTTGTTCTTCTCTAAATTTGACAGTAATCTAGACTTGTCGAGTGAAAACACCATGTTCAGTTTGTTCTTGAATCACATAATCCCCTCACAGTGGGGAATATAATCCTTTTATACACGTGAGATCATGGAATGCAATGTGGCGGCTGTGTGCGCCTTACGCTGCACTCATTCAGCCGACATTAAAGATTCAAACCAGTTTTTAAAGGGAAACCAATTATCCTTTAGAAGATAATAGGTACTGATGCAGGAGTTATTTTTTTTTAAATCACTTGGTAATTAAGTCACATACTTGTGACTTGGTTAAACACTGTCAAAAGGTCAAAAGATGTGAGGCAAAAAAACACAGACTGTATATAAGAAGTGGGCTTGTAGCTGCTGCAACCACGCTGAGCTGAAACTAGAGATCGGGACCATAAACTCAGGTTGACAAAGTTTTCTGAGGTAATAAATCAAGTCAAAAGTAGGGTCATTTTTTCATAGACTTCTACAGCATCAATATTCACTATCAACTTCAGGAGTCGCCCCCTGCTGGCTTGTAGAGAGAATGCACATTAAGACACATCAGCATTGGCTCCACTTTTCAAACCTTCAAGTCTCCGACTGAGTTAAGTACAGTTATTGAAAGTGTGGTTATAGCTAATAGTGACTTTAAATCGGACCTCTGTGTTGCTACAAAGACATTAATGCAGTTTCTTGATAACTACTTTGCTCAATATTTTCAATATTCAAATATATTTTGGCAATAAATGTTTCCTGATTCCTGAATAATTGTTTGACCAGAACGAAAATAATTCTAATGTTGCTGCATAATGTTCTCTAACACTGACAGCTGTGTTTACGTTTGTGTGTTTGTGTGTATGTGTGTGTACATGCTCGATTTGTCTCGCGGTCCCCCACTATCATCTTTGTCAGTTGAGCGGCTTCCAAGTTCCCGGAGAGGCACACTTGTCAAATGTACAAATACGCAACAGTGCAGCTCTGGCAGAGAATATGAGATGCGTACAGAGCAAGTTTCAGGTGTCAAACCTTAAAATACCTTTGGTTAGGACCTGGAGCCCCTTACACCCAGTAACCAACAACCCAGCAGCAGCTGCTCTCATTCATGGGGAAAGAAAGCGGAGCTGCTCAGCATCCCGACGATGTGCTCGGGGCTGAATGAATAACACTCCGCCGGCAGCATCCCTAAACATCATGCAGCACCACGTGCCCCGATTCCGTTTTTAAAAGTGTTATTCTAAATTGAGACGCTTTGCAGCACAATACGGGGGAAGGGTGGGCGTGCCAAATGGGTCAGGCTGTTGTGACACACACACGGTATTCATATTGTGTGATCTATTAGTAATGGTGTCAGGGATGAGCGGATGTTGTCTACAGTTGCAGCGTTTCCTGGGAATACAATGCCTTTGACAGTCCACAGAAGGAGTAAAAAACACTCCCACTTAAAAGGTGTTATTATTAGCAGATCTGAGTTGGTGTTTGTGCAAGTCAAGAGTCAGTGAGAAAATGCAGCCGAAACTGAGGATTAACAGGTTATAACTAACTGTAAAAGTCCATTTACCATTTGTTTCTTTAGCCTAATTTGTTTTCCAAGAGAAAATAAAAATGATGTTGAATTAATCTCCCTCGGTGTGCACCGGTACACACAACCTGCTTTCCGAGCTGCCAGCGGCAAAGGCAGCAGCACCTGGGTGGTTGTTGACCAAATCAAAGGTAATACCAAAGTACATATGCGGGGACATCTTGTCCTCGGCATCAGACGGGGTTGGGTATTGGCTGTGTACAGATCCTTGGTGTGGTCTGCCACCATGCGCCGAGTTAAAACACTGTCACCACCTCACACAGCACTGGGTTCAAAGTGAGACAACATACAATCACACAAAATGCATGAAGAACGGCAGCTCTCCGTCAAAGCCAACAGCGATGAGAGCACAGTGATCATCAAGACTTTAAAGATCTTCTGTTTGAGGGAGTTGCTACATGTCCCTTTTGTTAAAAGTGGGCAGTTCTGGTTCTCCGTATAGAGAGTTTGCAGTTTTATATGCAGCCATGCTATGAATAAGAAATAAATAGTCAGTGCCAGTGTGCTGTCTCCTCTACATCTCGCTGAGGTTCAGGAGAGCCATGTTGAGGAAATCCTCAGAAAATGACATCATGTACCTGCACCCTCAACCCCATTCTCACTGCTCTGATCAAGTCACATATACCCTGATTGCTGTCATCTGTCCCCTCCTCAAGAAGCCCACCCTGGACCCGGAGGTTCTAGCCAACTATAGACGTGTCTCCAACCTTGCCTTCCTGTGCAAGGTGCCAGAGAAGGTAGTTGCTTCTTAAATTCAGGACCACCTCAAGCACAACAACTTGTTTGAAACTTTTCAGTCAGTCTGTTCAGCTCACGGCACGGAAACAGCTTTGCTCAGTGTAACGAATGACCTGCTGATGACAGCTGATGCTGGATCACCTTCACGTCTCATCCTCCTGGACCTGCATTTGATACAGTGGATCACACTATGCCGCTTGATTGCCTCCACACCACCCTTGGATTCATCAGACTCTGCACTCAAGCAGTTTCAGTCCCACCTTTCTGGCAGAACTCAATACGTCTCACTGGGAAGACGCACGTCCAGCCTGCTCCTTGTCTCCTCTGGTGTTCTGCAGGGGTCGGTCCTTGGCCCCACCCCCTTTATCACCTACATGCTCCCCCTCGGCCGAGTCATCAGCAAACATGGAATGTCCTTTCACTGTTATGCTGAAGACACAAAGGCCTAAAACTGGCCTTTTTTAAACTCTATTTATCTGTTTTTTTCCGCTATGTTTTTACTATACTCTTACTTTATTTTTGACAATGTTTTACGTTTTGCCATCTCTGTCGCACTCTGAGGTCTGCTGATGAAGAGTGCGTTATAAATTAAATGTAGGGTTATGTAGGGTTATTATTTCTCTCTCTCTCTCAGACTTGCACCCCCCCCCCCCCCACACACACACACACAGTGCATCTACATGAGTTGGAACCAATTCTACAAACGAGCGACTCCATGGTTTCTCGTTGCTACAGCCAAACAGCGCTGTGTGCAATGTGTGTGTGTGTGTGTGGTGTGTGCATGCAGTGAGGCATATATATATATATACACACACACACACACACACACACAGGACTGGGTTTCATGGCTGATTTTAAGGCAGGTTTCCACAGTGGAGAAGTATTGGTGTGTTTTAATGAGCCGAGAAACTGGAGGACTGAACTTCAACATACACAGTTGGTGGTAGACAGGAAAAGTTTGTGTATATAGACTCTAATATAGTCAGTTCCACAAAATAATATGAATCAGACAATTCCTATTCACCCGGTAACACACACATACACGGCACTGGAGAAGTTTCCTTTAATCGACTGCTTCGCTTGTAAAAAAAAAACAAGTCTGATTTGATACATGAAAGTTTATGTTTTTTGAATCTTTTTCAATAGAGCGAGATATTAATTTAGTTAATTAGGAAATTATTGATCGAGTATGCTTTAGAATGAATTGAATTCTGATTGACAGGTCGCTACCACATTGTTGTCCGTGTGTCTTGTGTGACTTTTTTCATTTCAAAATGTTTTTGTCCTGAATTCTCATATCCGGGGTTTGGTTGTACTGAGCTCACTTCTGTTGGCAAAAACATTTTTCTGGGTGAGGTTCAGAAGTCATCTTAGGCTTGGAGGACTTTCAGTTTACTACAGTAAACTACTATCGACTACAAAAGTGGGAAATGACTGGTCTTTACAAAAGGGATCAAAGAACCACTCCCGTGTTGTACTGCTCGCCACTCACCGCCTGCCGTCTACTTCAAAGCCCGGTGCAGCGCGGCGCCGCTGGAGAGCGGTGACGTGCGTGCGGCTCTGCTGGTTGTGGTGAAAGCATCAAAATCAGAAGTAAGTGAGGTGAGAGTCGTCCATCATTTCCCACAGCCGCTCGGCGGGTGCGGCGGCCGGACGGGGGGGGGGTCGAGGCGAGCGCATCCCGACCCGGGTGGAAGAAGCGGAGGCCCGGAGCGTCTTTTGAAGATGAGAGAAAGTTTGCACTCTGCTATGAAGCGTTGAGGCTTCAAAGGCGAGTGAGAGAACGTGATTGGCAGACGGAACAACGGATGCTGGACAGGTATCACGGTTTGTATATAAAACACATCAACTGTTTACTGCCGTCGGCTCAACCTTTCAGCGACCGAGAGGAACAACGTGCCCTCATGTATCTTTTAGCTCGCTGTGTTTCCATTGCTGCGCAAGCCCACAAATCACAGAAACTCTAGTTTGCGGATGACAACGTCTATTAAAGAAACTGTGTAATAACCCAAAAGCGTTCACATCGAATATGCATCCAAATAAAAGCCACTTTGATGTATGAAGAAATACATTAAAAAAGACTGAGCATCATCAACTCTCTTGTTTGTCAAAACGGAGATAGAGGCCGGGGCTTTCCGCTCGTCTCCCAGGCCATTAAAAATAGATGCCACAAGCCGAAGAGCGACAGACATCGGAGGGGAGGAGGGAAGCTTTTAACAAAGCCCCATTCAAACGCCGCGACTTGAGTGCCGACTCCCACACCGGCAGCCCGAACCCCGAGACAGCCTCGGCCTCTAATCGCAAACATTTATTCAGATCAGACGACTCCACTGGATGTCTCTGAGGAGCATCTCTGTGAGATATAAAAAGAATCAGGAGGGAAGAAGAGAGAGATCAGACAAGTGATGGATGCAGAGAGAGAGAGAAGAGGGGAGGGAAGGCCAGCGAAAGAGATGGAGAGACAGACAGATGGAGACAGATGAGAGCCGGGAAATAAAGAAAACAAGACGCCGTAAAAGTGAAAGGGAGCGATTGCTCTTTTTCTGAAGTCCCCAGAAATGACACAAAGTAAAGACGGCGAGAGCACATGAAGGTCCCCCGACTCAGCGGACCGAGACCAGCGCGGCCTGAGACGGGCTAACGCGAGGAGAATACAAATGCATAAAAGGTATATTTACACTGAAGACGGTCTGATGAAACCCAGAGTGGGGAAAACAAATTCAAAACCGTTATTTATTAAACGCGAGTGAGTCACCGGGGACGAGGCTGCCGCAGAGTTTGGAACGTAATCAGAACTCGGCGGTTTCAATTAGAGCGCAACGCGTGTTCTTGATGTGTTTCGTAGCCGGCGCCTTATTAAGGTGTTGGACTGAGAAAGTAATCTAAGTAATGAATTTCTTTTCCATTTTTAAAGCGAATGGAGGCCGTTAGAGATGGAGGAGCAATTTTTGGGAGGAAATGAAAAACGGGGGGGGGATCTTGTTGGGCGCTTCATATATACATTCAGTTATGGAGTTTGCTTAATATTACCATTAATAAATACCACTGTTCTACGATGGAAACGTACGTGAGAGTGTTTTGTCTGCTGTCCCTAAGCAGGTTATTATATGAAAGAACGTCTATGTTTTAACAGGGTTCTTGCACCATTTCGAAAGTAAAATTTAATGCTTTTTAAGACCTTTTTAAGACTTCAAAAAATATAATTTAAGACCCCAAAATGTCACAATTTCTTTGGAATACACAATTTATTGCCTCTTACAATGGAAATCAAAACTTTTTTAACACACACTTGACTGAGAGGTTGTAACGTCGTTAGGTCGTGCTGCAAACAGTGCAGGGATTAACCTGGCCCCGCTATGGCTAGCTGCTGCAACGTATCGCTGGTGCTTTCCTCCTTTCATGTGCGACTCGACGGCTTTGAGCCCCATGGTCCCTAATGAAAAGGTCTTTTTGCATAGTTTAAACATTGCCCCATTGTTGTTTTCAACCGGCGCCAACCACCTCCTAAATGCATCATCTTCCATCCACTTGTCGTTAAATTTGCACTTCCCCATCTTCTTTGCATTTTCAACCTCACATCGACAACCGCGTAATGGCGACACGCAGCCTGACGTCAGCGTCTGTAGCCGACGTACCGTAAACAGCTATTAAATTGCGGAGACTCATTTCGCACAATACTAAATTAATCAACTATTAGATGTTTTACGATGCGCCACTGTGCTTTCGCATCGTCATTAAGCGCATCGGCAAAAAAATTAATACTTACAGGAACTTAACGTGAAATTTAAGACAATTTAAGCCTTAATTACCCACATTTTAATTGAAGACATTTTAAGACTTTTTAAGGACCCGCGGGAACCCTGTTTAAGACATGTGTTTAAATGTAACAACCTCAGGATGTCAAATTGGTGTCTGTAGGTAATTATGATTCATTTGTGAATATTTACAGACAATTTATGAACTATTACCTTTCCTGCAAAAAAATAATCTGCCGATCCATGTGGCGTTTGCAGTGTATGCTTGGTAAAAGTCCTCTCATTTGCTCCAGAGGAAACATTCTACAGGCTCGATAGCTGAGACAAGTTGGTGAAACTAATCATGGTGAAGCTGTTGACTAGGATCAATTCATCCAGCACACTCGATTTCCTTTCAAAACACAGTAAACTGAGATATTTCCTTCCTGTGTAACAAAATAAAATGCTAATGTGCTAATGTTGATGGATTGTTTTAACAGACAGGTAAGCGAACTATAGGGCAACAACTTCCCCCTATTGTTATGGTTGATGCAGTTGTAGATTATTTACGCGAGCAATTTGTCTTTTTGTTCATAAAAAAAAAAATTAAGAAAACTGCTCAAGGTGGCCTGTAAAAATTGCTTTTTTATATTCAGTTTACTCTCATACTATATTTGACCAAAGAAATATAAAAACACCAACAGGAAATATTTGGCATTTGCTTGTAAAATGAATTGAAATTAATATTCAAATATAAAACTAGCTGTAGGATTAAAGCAGCAAAGCTTAAAGTGCAAACTAATCAATAGATTAGTCTGAATAAGTAATAAAAATGAGACGAAAATCCACAATAACTGAAATAAAATGATATATACAGACATTATATGTCTACAGCTTGTACATATTGCACAGAATATTTTTTTAAACTTGGAGCAGAGCTGTTGTGCAGCCTGACAGCGGCGGGAGGGAAGGACCTGCGGTTCCTCTCCTTCACACACCGGGGGGGGGAGGGGGGGGAGCAGTCGGTGGCTGAAGCAGCCGTACAGAGCAGCCAGGGCGTCCCGCATGCAGTGGGAGGGGTTGTCCATCAGGGATGAAAGCATAGGCATCATCCTCCTGGTTCCCACCACTTGCACCGTATTCAGAGAGACGGGGCACATTATCCTGGCACGCTACGGACAGATGCTACTCGCTAAAAGTCAACCTGAAAGCCTTTCCATCCATATCAGGCATCAGCGACTCGTGCTGCACAGTAGCTGTTTCAGACACCCTGCAGATATCAGCAATTATCACTGAGCTAAAAATCATTTTAAAAGTTCTGTAAGGGCAGAGAATGTTTTCTTCCACTATTCCCACTTTAGAAAGATTTACAATCACAACGTTAAAGCCGGCCATTTACTGCCTGTTTCCATATAGTTATTCTTCTGGAATCAAGTAGAAAGTGAAAGCAAGAGGCGAGGTAAATGTGCGCCGTTGCTGAAAGGTCTCGAGTCAATTCCCTAATGGAGTGGATGTTAAAGCAGGAAACTGTTTGTGACTCAATGGAAGAATCCCGTGAATCCTACACAACGTTCTGACCTGTTTTCTCGGTGCTGAAAACCTTTTCTCATTAATGGTATGCATGGTGTGTTAGTTTAAACACAAACTCATCAGATCAGGTGCCTGAGGGAAAGCTTCAGCAGAACTGATCACAATTCCAGAAATGTCTTGTTTTTCTACAAGCAAAACTTTGCACTGGGGCTGTCCACAACCCGCTTGGCGAGGCTTCAGTGAGGAATGTTGTCATGAATGTCATGTTGCTCATGGCAACAGCACAAAGCCTTCTGTCCCGGCTCCCCTCCGTCAGAAGTACAGTTTACTTCTCCGGGGGAAGAGGAGACAACGACGATGCGAGTTTCCTCAAACTGGCGGTCGCTTAGATTCTGCTTTGCTTTTGTGTCACGCCTGTGTGTCGATGCCCTCACTAGTACACCAATCAGAAGTGACCATTGTTTAATAAACTACGGCTTGGAGACTTAAGGAGACGTTGGTCGTTTTTTAAGATCGGATGGAAAACTCAGCAAAGCTACAGAATCCACCTGTGCAGACTTCTTTCATTCTTAAAGGTGAGAGAGACTATATGAAAAGCTAAATGTTTGATCCGTGGGGCTCATGTCTGTGCTGCTCACCTGTACTGAGCCTGAAAGTGTTCCTGGACAAAACTGTGTCGATCCCGAGGCTGCCGCGGGCCGGCTGAACTGGTGCTGGAAGACTCCTCCGAGGAACTGGGTCCCTGCAGACAAAGAGACGGGGGACAGAGAGGAGACAAACGATCGCTTTAGTCGACGCAGGCCGATTCATGAACATCGACTCCACAACGACATTAAATAAGAATAAGAACACGGGTTTCCTGCAAGCCACAATAAATGAATCAAGGCTGCAGAGGAGAAGCCTGTCTTGTGCAAATATATGGTTGTCTGTTTTACAAAACATGGCCAACGAAGGCAAATGGGCATGTTGGCTAAGTCCCCATCAGGGGGGGTCAGATATAGTCATATGTCAGATATAGTACCGCCATAAGCTTTTCTTGTTCCGGAGAGATAATGAAAACTGAGCAAAGGAGCAGTGGCGCATTATATAGCAGCTTTAACCAGACTTGATTGCAGATATGGAGAGAATGTTTGCTAAAAGAATAAGTCAATCTCTTGGACGAAATACTGTACAAAAATGTCATTAATAAACTAGGAGGGGATCAAACAGAATAAACACAAAAATGTTTTATTTGGAAAAATGACTGGAATCCACCCCATGATTCGTTTTGGTTAAAAATGACCTTGTGAACAGTTTGCCTGTGAGAGAACCGGGTCGAAGACGTCGTCTCGCATCTCGAGTTGCTAATCGAGGCCTAAACGTCGAGAAATGAACCCCCAGAGTCCTAACCGTCCCCCTCGATTTAGAGATTCCCCGGTTAAAGTTTTTAAGATTGTCTTTGGCTTCACCACCATCATCAGGAATTACACACAAGACCGCAGCGAGGAACAGTATGACGACTACGCAGCTTTGATGAAGGTCCACTGTTGTTCAAACAAAATCCAATCACGGTTTCATTCGCTTTGAACAATGAAATCTTCTCCCGGGACGCTCTTTACTAGAATATATATAATGAAGAAAAAGCACAAAAAAGCAACAACAACAAAAAAATCTCCCATGTGACAGTTTTCCTTCAAACTCCACCCCGGCCTTGTGTCTACTTTTTCATTTACTAAGTAGATCCAGCACAACATGAAAGCTCGTCATTCGCATAATGCAATAGTTAAATCTCCATGTTCTTTTCCCGAGTGAAAACCACAAGACAACCTCTCCAATTAACTGCTGCGGTGTCTGCCGAGGTCACCGAAGAGTCGACGCGGCGGAGAAGAGAACGCTGATCGGCCTCCAAACAGCTGTTGGCGAGGCGTGTTTTCCAAACGCTCACACCCAAAGCCATCTGCTCGCGTGCTAAGTGGAGGAGAGGGGGGGGGGGGGGGATGCATCTTCTTGATGCGTCGAGGTGCAGGGTAGAAGCAGAACGGGGGCCCAAAGAAAGAACAGCGGACGGCTCAGGAGGCCCGCCGCGCCACCTGCAAAGATTGGACGGGGGATTCGCCGCCACCCGGGGACCACGGCGTGCAGCGGGGGCGATTTAAAGTTGACTTCAATTACCACTTTGCGCTGGCGAGAATGGGTTCAATCGGAGAGAGAACGAATGGAGACAATTACCCCCAAAGCGCAACCTGCAGACGCACAGCTCATGAATGTCGCAATGACTGCGTAGTACTTTATTTTTTAATCTCAGGCTATCATGTCTGATTTCGGAGGCGAGTCATGATTTCGCTGATTCAAATTATGCTTCCGTTTGCCTGCATGGGTTTGTGTCATCGCAGTGCCGATGTATTAAACATCTTCGCTTGCTTGTGAGTCACAAGACCAGCCGTGACCAACTCTCCTTTTTGTCTTTCTTTCTTTCTGTCTCATCTCCAGAGGACAATGCAGCACGATCCTCAGACCCACGAGAGACGGACTCGGTTACAAGCATCGCCATGGCAACCCCGGCCTTATTACCCTCAATTTTGAGGAAAAGTTTAAAAAGTACTGTGACAATTTCGCTCATAAAAGCTCAAGGAAAAGAGCATCGCATGTAGCGTGTTCTTAGTGGTTGTGAGGTAATGGGATTTTCCCGAGTATCCCATTCCAATAAAGAGAAACGTCTGAGGCGTCTCACCTTCAGATCCATCACTTCCCGCATAATGTGTTTGAATAGCGTGCCGCCTGCCGCTGAGCCGCACCGCTGTCACCATTCCTTTGCCTTTTCACTCATACACATTTAATTTCGCCGAGGACACAAAGTGCCCAGAAGGAGAGTTGTTGTGTGATGGAGAGGAGAGGGAATATGGGTGGGAGACAAAGAGTGGCTTTGATACTTAATTCTCTATGCATAATTGATCCGAACTGGGGCTTTTCACTGCACCACATGGGGCGGGTCATCAACCTCTGAGGCAGATCTGAGAGCTGATAAGCAGACGGCGACAGTGAGAGAGATACGAGGACGGACGTGGAACATCTAGCAAAGACACTGTGTGCTTTAAAGGAAATAGCCATGTGCGCGGTTAAAACACAACGAGAGAGAGAGACTCACTATGGCTCATTATTTATCACCCGGGGAACAACGAATGCCCCTGCAACGTCGTTCCAGCTCCGCCAAAAATAGATGCGGGGGCCGGCCGCGACGATCACAAGCAAATACTAACATACGGCGGCACTAAGCTGTTCAATTGTCACACTGTGTGTATCCTGGAAAAAAAAAACAGCCTCCCAACAGATCTGGGCCACATTCAGCTGCTTCCTGTTGCTCGAGGACTGAATTACCGGCAGCATCTCGGTCCCCCGGCGCTGTAATTGATTTCTTAAGGCTTACTTTTACTGTCATAGCTCAGCGTGCTCTAGCTGAAGCCCGTATTTGCTTTTGCTCTGTTAATGACTTCAGTGATAAAATGGTGCTTCTTTCAGAAAAATGTAGCAGAGGAATGAGTAGGCATCTGAGACAACTGGGGAAAAGGGAAGAAATATTCAGGGACTAAAAATAAAAAGCCTTTTTTTTCTCTTTTCTTACTAGAGCCAGAGATCTACTGTATTCTGCTCATGCTTTTGCATTTAAAGCCTTTTATATCTTGCTTTATTCTTTTACAGCTGATTTCAGCACAAAAAGGCGATTCAATCGGAGGGTACGAGCCAAACCCTGGAGGTCTCGCTGCAATGGATTCTGCAGGACTCAGACAAATTATTTGAGATGTGCATCGTTGGTGACTTTGGCACTTTTAGCCTCTTTCCATTATTACGATTATTACGCCGTTTTCAAGGGTGTAGAAAAAATAGCGTGTCCTCAGATCCTTTTTTCTCCCATTTCCCATTTGCCATAAAACGGAAACGGAATCACATCACCATCAAGAATAACTCTATTATTCTTGACCACTTCCAGTGGTTTCTTTCAACAGTGCAGAAAACTGCACGTTGGCGCACAAGTTCAGAACCAGCCGGAGCTCCTGTTTTCCAACGCAGAGGCACAAACTCATGCGTGTTGTGTTTTGCAGCCACTGTGTTGTGAAATTAGATTTGGGTGGTGGTGGCGCTTCAGTCAGCTCCTCTGCGCAGACATCATGTGATGTCGTGAGGTGATTATTGTTTCACACAACAATATGTCTGTGAAACCTGAGGGCGTTTTTTTCCTCACAAACCAAGCAGCGCCGTGGCGACCAATTACAAACCTGTTCATGTCCTTGTTCCTGGCGATGAGTCAAACTCACTCGGAACACACCTGCTGTCGCGCGCGCATGCGTACGCGTGCGTGGTGATCACTACGTGCACACAACTAAGCTAAAAACTAAGAGGAGATTGTTCCTGTGGCTGGGATGGAGATCTTGCAGCAGCTGCATGGCGCCCATCTCTCCCCCACCTGCTGCGTCCGTGTGCTTCAGCTGCCTGTCCGTCTGTCTGTACCTACAGAATGACAATATCCCACAACACGCGGTATTTCGCTGGAGCCACGGCAACGGAACGATGCATAACAGAATCTTTGTATGTTTGTTGTTAGCTACGCTTGTCCTTTCTCCTGTGCATTCACAGCGTGAGCCAAGATTAAGGATCCAGTGTAAGTGGGGCAGTGGTGGTGGAAATCCCCCCTCATCCAGCGGGATGGTGGGCGTCGTTACCCGCTTCTTCTATTCCTCACCTGATTTCTGTGTGATCGGTGAAACATTCTTCCCGTGCAGTCCTCCATAAATCTCAGTGGCCCAGTGACAGAGACCCCCCCCCCCCCCCCCGGCCCCCCGTTTCCCTCAAGATGTCCTCACACTGCAATCCCCTACATGAAAACATAAGGCGTTATCAAAAGCCCCCGCTGATCACCCGTGGCGTGCATTCATGTGAGACGATGCCGAGGCGCTCCGCTGCAGAGCTGAGGAATGAGTGGGAGTTTGTTTGAAAGTTTGTGTGTGTGATACTTTCACTGTAACAACGGGAAAGAGTGGGCGAGGGAAATGCTGACGCCCCGACTATAAATCAGGATACAGTCTGTCTTTTCTTTTTTTAACTACAGCAACCAATGAAGCATTGAAACGTGGCCGAAAGACATTTGTAACTCCCTGTTTTCATGGAGCAGAATGAAGGGGAACAATGGTGACACAGGTTCTTTTATTACTTATTGTTGAGTATCAGAATGGTCGTACACAGGAGGTCTTCCTGGCCTTAAAGCATCGCAGTATGTGCTCACACACACACACACACACACACACACACACACACACACACACACACACACACACACACACACACACACATTCTATTTGAAATGGGAATCCCTGCAAACTACATTTTTAAATGTATTATTGTGTGTCGTTCCAAAGTAACATTTGTCCCTAGAGTGTGCTGAAGTAGCACATTACACCACCACAATATAGCTGTGTTTGAAAGCGAGAGCATGAGACCAAGTACTAATATGATAAAAATCTCTTCACCAACAACTGTGATCATAAGAATGCTTCCGATCCATCCACACATTAAAGCTACCGCATCCCTACTCTGTGATGAGGTAAAGTACCTGTTGTGTCCCCATATTGAGCAGGTTGCAGCATCATGTTTCTATAGTTGCACAGAACCGAAGCTGCAGTTTGCAAGATAAACGCTTATTTTATTAAGATGAAAAATAATGACGTCCAACTGAGGAGAGAAGCTGAGCTGGTTATCGTCTCCAACCACATT